CATGCCAACGAATGATATGCCAGCAGACGGACTTACGAAAAACCTACCACGAGCGAAGTTTGAACACTTCCGAGCACTTCTCAACCTACAGGATGTACGGAACGCATCGCCATGCACACCCAGGGGCCAATTATAACGGAACACAACAACCACGACTATTTACTTTTTCATTTGTACTTACCGCATTCACTACAGATCGTTTTGGAATCTGACGATATCGTATTGCAGCCGCGCCCTCGTTCCACACGGGCGCGACTGAGGGGGTGTGTCGCAGCGCCACACGTGGCGCTGCCGGTTACTGCCGTACGATACCGCTTTCCACAAGCCCATTACCCGTCTTGTACGGTATATAGATAGGACCCTCATACGGGTCTTCCACTTAGAGGAATCAAGCCACTTTCTACCATACAAGTCTTCCACTTGCTACCTCGCTTTGTGATAGATTTCAAGCCAAAGACGCCAACACCATCAAACTCACGGCCAAGCAGCCAAGGCTCCTGGGACCCAAGGACACCAATTACAGCACTAGAGGGCGTACGAAGTGCTACCTCCCTTAAAAGGAAGATCCAAGCACATCAAGGTAGCTCACCAACACCAATGTACGAAGTAATTGACTTCCAGGCCAGAGGTATTAGCAAGTTAGCCCATAGGCTTGCTATTATTGAGGCTGAGAACCGTAAGCTTCGTACGGGGATAGAGGTACTAAGTAAGCGCCGGAGGGCAAAAAAGACCCGGCTACGTCTTGGAGGGTCACTTAATAGTGCTGAAGCAGAGGCACTACAAGTAGAGAAGGGTGGTGTTAATGCTGGAGGAGAGAATAACCCTCAGAAGGAGGGTCGTACGGAAGGTGCTGAACCACGCGCGCGACGATGTGGTAATTGCGGGAAGCCTGGACATAACGCACGAACCTGTGAAGTGGTTTGGGATAGTAATGAGGAAGAGGGTGATATATAGTTTTAATTGATTTCGTACGTTGTGGCTAAGTTAACTTATACATAAGGTAGAAAGGTTTGAGAGAGTGCGTCGCTCGCTATGATGCGTCGCTCGCTATGCAGGTACGTTATATAACGTTCAAATTTTTTCATTAGTCTTTGATAAGAGTCACCAAACTAAATAAAAAGTTTTAAAAATTAATTTCTATTAAGGCTAAGAAACCAACAATAGTATCGTATACATGGATAGCTTTAAGAAAGCTATATTTATAAGTCGTAAGGTAAGGAAGGTGTTACGGCCAGCTAGTCGTAGGGGTAGTTTGCAGAAGTTGAGGCTGCGGAACTGGTAACAGTAATCGTAGTCGTGGATAGCTTCAGGGAAGCTATGTCTGTAAGTCGTAAGGGTAGGTAAGGCTTCGGTGATCAATCGTAGTCTTGTCAAGGTAGTAGCTGAAAGCGGATGTTAATCCTGATACGAAGTTAATTGCTGAAGAAGCTATGGAAAGTCTGTCCTAGAGCCCAGCTCGAGTCCATCCTTATATACAAGTCCGATCCTAACTGAACAGTGCTGAACAGTCCACTTTGTCTGGATATGTTGGATATGCCGAATATCCAACATATCCTTGACTCGGTTGGATATGTCGCATATCCAACATATCCTTATCCCTTATCATATCTCTTATCATCACGTGACTTGTACCATAGTTCTTCCGTTCCTGGGGTTTCCCCAATGTTCCGTCCCGTCCTGCATATATGATGCGCCGTAGCCGCTAGGCTGTTACAACCCAACATGCATGACCAAGAACAGGGCCTGCCCCGCAGGCTCGCGGCGGTTATAATACACCACATATGCAGGAGATAAGGGACACTAGGCACCCTCTCACGGAACGGAAGAACTATGGTACAAGTCACGTGATGATAAGATAAGACATGAGCGGCCATGGTGGGGCCATGAGCGACCATGGTGGGGCCATGAGCGCTCATGCCGAACAATGAGCGCTCATGCCGAACGATGAGCGCTCACCCGATCAGAGGAACTGATCATTGACAAGGGATATGTTCAGGACCAGGACTTGTATATAGGATGGACTCGAGCCGGACTCTAGGACAGACTTTCCATAGCTCTTCAGCAATTAACTTCGTATCAGGATTAACATCCGCTTTCAGCTACTACCTTGACAAGACTACGATTGATCACCGAAGCCTTACCTACCCTTACGACTTACAGACATAGCTTCCCTGAAGCTATCCACGACTACGATTACTGTTACCAGTTCCGCAGCCTCAACTTCTGCAAACATACCTCACTACGACTAGCTGGCCGTAACATAGGCGTCAGCGAAGCACGCCCTGGTCTTCATGTTGGGTCGTAACACCGCTTAGTATTAAATAATTATTTACTTTTTTATTTATATTTACCGTATTTATTATAAATTGCTTTAAAGTCTAATAATATTTTATTATAGCCGTGCCCTCGTTCTATATAACGTGGTTCATCAGTCAGCCGGCCGGACCAGTCAGCCGGACGTTTTTTTCTAAACACACTTATGTCCAAACCACTTAAACCTTTGACGCGTAAAATCTCAACAACCATAATGCCAATCTACACCCAAGAAGACAAAGTCATTCTTGCGATTGAAGCGATCCGATCGACACGCGCTGCAGGTAGTAACTTGAGCATTTCGCGTGCCGCAAAGACCTACGGTATTCCGAAGAGCACCTTAGCCGATAGAATGAACAACCGACCGCGACGCGAACAAACTCAACCCCAACGACATAAACTCGATCCGATCGAAGAGAAAACACTTCTCCAATACGTTATTGAACAGGATTCCAGAGGATTTCCTTTGCGCCTTGGCGGTGTAGAAAATATGGCCAATCTCCTGCTGCGAGCGCGTAATGCCGAGCCTGTTGGCAAGCGATGGGCCAGGCGGTTTGTGGACTCACAGCCTGCTCTGAAAACCAAGTTTAATCGTCCATACGATTATCAAAGGGCTCTTCAAGAAGACCCAGAGGTTATTTCAAAGTGGTTTGTGTTGTTACGCAACATGATGATCAAGTATAGAATCCAAGAGGAGGACCTATACAATTTCGACGAGACTGGCTTCATGATGGGCATGATCACCGCGTCAATGGTGTTAACACGCGCCGATCGACGCGGCAAAGCAAAGCCTGTCCAGCCGGGTAACCGTGAATGGGCTACAGTCATTGAATGTATCAATTCGGGCGGGTGGTGCATCCCTCCGTTCGTGATCGTCAAGGGCGTATATCACCTTGCCAGTTGGACCACAGAATCAGGTTTTCCGAGCAACTGGGTCATCAAGCCCACTGCTAATGGATGGACGGATAATCAGACGGGTCTTGACTGGATTAAACACTTCGACAAACATACTAAGAACCGAACTAAGGGCGTCTACCGGATGCTCATTATCGACGGCCATGAGAGCCATTTATCGGCCGAATTCGACGATTACTGCAAGCAGAACAATATTGTAACGGTCAGTATGCCTGCACATTCGTCGCATCTATTACAGCCATTGGATATTGCGCTTTATTCGCCTTTGAAACGCGCATACGGTGATAAAATCAACCTATTTATCAGAGCCTCCATAATCCACATCACCAAGTCGGAGTTCTTTATTGCCTTCTACCAGGCCCACAACAAAGTTTTTAATGAAGAAAACATTAGGGCTGCTTTTCAAGGCGCTGAAGTTTCACCATAGAACCTAGAGCATGTCATTGAAAAGCTTGATGTACGTTTACGGATGCCTATACCTCCTGTGGCCAGCCCTTCAACACCACCACCTTGGCAGTCGCAAACGCCCTCTAACCCACAACAAGCCGTCTCGCAGTCCAACTTTATCAAAAGCCGGATCTCTGCTCATAAAGGAAGCTCACCGACACCAATTATTGCTGCAGTTGAGCAATTGTCAAAGGGTGCGCAGGCAATGGCGCACTCAATCACTATTTTGGCTGATCGGCTTCGTACCCTTGAGGATGCGAATGTAGCACTTGCTAAGCGTCGGAGGGCTAAAAGGTCGCGTGTGCAGCTTAGAGGGGCACTTAGTATAGAGGAATCTCAGGGTTTGCTGGAAGAGAAACAAAAAGGTAAACGTCCAGCACCTCGAGAGGATGAGGAGGGGGGTCCATCAAAGAGAGCCCAGCCGACTCGGAGACGCTGTGGTGCGTGTGGTAAGACTGGGCATAATGCACGAACCTGTTCCAAAGATGTCGAATTATCAGGAGATTCTGATAGCGATAACCAATAATTGATTTAATGCGTTGTGGTTGAGAAATACTAGATGTTGTTGTGGACGTGGGAAAAAACGTCCGGCTGACTGGTCCGGCCGGCTGACTGATGAACCACGTTAGATATAACTAAGGGGGTATATTATAGCGCTATATGTAGTGCTGCCGGTTACTACCGTATAATACCGCTTTCTATAAGCTGATTACCCGTCTTATACGGTATATAGATATGACCCTTATACGGATCTTCCACTTAGAGGAATCAAGCCACTTTCTACTATACATGTCTTCCACTTGCTACCTCGCTTTGTGATAGGATGGAATAATATTCTGGTATGGACAGTCCGTAGAACTCCTCAATCTGTAGGCTGGAGCAGTTCAGAAGCTTCATGGCGATGGGGGCACCAGACTGAGGCAATGAATCTGGAGCGATGTGAAATGTTGAGGAGACCAAGAATCGTGAAGGAAGACGAACTTTCAGCCCCAAATCTTATCCACATACGAACTAGTCTTTTCTAGAAGATCATCGTTACATCTCAGCAGTCAGCAAATACCTCAGGGAAATGGTATCAAATAATTAGGCAGCTGCCCAATGGTAAGATGCCTCGTAATCCGCTGATGACCGCAGGTGGGGCTCAAGGCTGACGAGGTCGCTGGCGAGACTGGTCTTTTCATTTGTTTAGCGGGAGCTTTTTGGTGGAAGAAAAAGAAACGACACCCATGTATGAGTTTGCTATCCGAAGTATGCATGCCAAGACACTAAGATGACCGTTTGTTTACAATAGCCTTTGCCTTTCTCCATCCACCAAACCCGTTATCTTATCCATCATATGGATCGCCCTTCCCATGCTCATGTTTCTCCTTTGTTTCATCGAAAGGGTCTTTGGAAGAACTTGAGCTCACACTTTTGTGATTCGCAGTCGTCTTCTCATCCGTCATGCTCTGATCTTGGTGCATGTGTTTATGAGGCTTTGCAATGTGAAGCTCGTCTGAGTGAAGCGCAACACCAGCCTCGGCGGCAATGTGATCGAGAGGATCCCTCATCAAAAACATGGTCATGCAATGATTGATGTGCATGAGAGTATCGTATCGCTTCTCAATGACGAGGACGCCGTCCTTGCCACAAGACGCGCCCGCGACTCCCCGAGAACAGCGCGCTGCCTCCCATATCTTTCGCCAATAGAACACGCAATGTACAAGATGCCATTGATGCGTGGTAAAGAAGCGAGCATGCTGGCCATGCCGGGCCGCCTCTGGAAGTTGGCTCACCTCTTCCAGAGTCATGGGGCGTGTCTGGTTCTTGTCGTGCCAGTATCCCCAGGTGCTGCCAGTGGTATCGGGCTCGTTGGGGCCCAAAGACTCAAACTCTGCGGTCAACTCAGGAGACCGGCAATGTGGTGGAAGCCAGGCGGCAGCAAGTGAATCGTACACGCAACCGTTCGCGCGGGCTTCTGCAATTGATTCACCACAATTGCAGGACCTGTCCTGTGGTCGCAAGGTGGATGGGGAGTTTGATGTAAGAAGGGAGTAAAGACCGTAAGCCGCCAACAACACGATCAAGAGACGGCCTGCGTATGACACAACTTGCACGAAGGCAAGCGTCTTGCTTCTTGACGAGACTTGGGCACCATCTTCAAGAGTAGCTTTGGTATTTTCGTCTCTCGGAAGCCGAGCATACTCTCCCTTGTCTTGACGTGTCCATGAGACGGTCAATTTCTCAAGACTAGAGGTTTACCATTGTCAGCAAGGTGCCGTAGCTTTAAAATCCATGATGCACTTACAATTTAGACATTCTTGGAATTGCTCTATTGCTTAGTCTAAATAGCTTTTCAACACAGCTAAATGTAGGCATCTATTGTATCCTCGAGAATCATGTGTTACTCGCCAGTAGAGAAAACCGAAAACAGCGGGAAGCTCTCGAGTACGGGCATGAATGCTGCCTACAATTCCTCGTAGTCATAGATAGACAACAACTGCAGTATCGCGCCTAGATCAGATATCCGCACGTCATGAACACATCTAGAAATTAGAAGCTGCTGCAGGTCTGGCGCAATTCACTGTTGGCGCTAGCGAAGGTGGTTCAATGGCACAGAGAGAAAGTCCGAAGGATTCGAAGGAATGGAAGAGCTTATCAACCCCACGAAATCGCCGCTTGATGTGCCTGACCTGCCCGCAGCCTAAGCCAAAGAAAGAAGCTCAAATGATCCGATCTACAATGTTACGGCCCGGTGGCGGGCCGTTTGTGGGCAAAATGCAGGCTGACGCTGCACTTATGCGGCACTTTTGTTGTCCGCGTACGGCCTACGCAATGTGTCACCGCCGGGAACATTGCGACTCAGATGTCACAAAGCCTGTGCTTCGCCTACGATTGAACATTTGCCAAGCTTCCTCCAGGACTCATCCGATCGAACTAAGGAACTGGATCGGGAGTCTCGTATTCCCGATTAGATGACTGGATGTTTGATCATAGGACCTGGGCCAAGACTGTTGTTCGAAAGTCACAGCATCCAAGCTTTGCTTGGCCGCGAATGGCCACCGTAAGTACCTTAAGGAGAGAAACCAGCCTCCAGCATAGCATCGTAGCAGTAAAGACAACTCGACTAGTGCCACGTACATTCATTCTCTTGAGTATTAATCGAACATGGCAAGAAGGAAGATATTTAAGATGCATCACTTCGGGGAACGCGATTGTTAGTGGAATGTTTCAATTGCGGCATGTAATAAGGTAATGAGTGTATCCTGGTAATCCTAATCCTGCCAGCTCCAGGATTCTACTCTACAGGTCCATCAAGCCTCTTGAGGTCGAAGCTATGATAAACGAAAGCACCTGAGCCATGACCTCCAACACGTGCTCCGTATCTCGGTTCGGCACTTCGAGTATTGCACTGAGAGTACGCCACATGGACCTCCTACTCAAGGGTAGAAGGGAATAGCCTCCGCTTCAGCATCAGCACCGCGTTTGGGGTAGAAAGGAATGGCCTCGGCTTCCGCATCAGCGCCTCTCTTAGGATAGAAGGGGATGGCTTCAGCTTCCGCATCTGCTCCTCGCTTAGGGTAAAAAGGTATGGCCTCAGCTTCGGCGTCGGCTACGCGCTTCGGGTAGAAGGGAATCGCCTCCGCCTCAGCATCAGCTCCCCTCTTTGGATAGAAGGGGATAGCTTCAGCTTTTGCATCCGCTCCTCTAACGTCTAGAGGGGGTATCCCAAGTCAGCCAGCTTCTCCTTGTCGAAGCACTCGGTCGTCTAAGATCACATACCGAGAGGGGCGGCAGCTACGAGGCCAATGGCGGCAAGAATGAGGTACTGAGCACGCATGGTTGCTAGAATTGAGTTGGATGTATTCTAGGAAAGAGGTGATGATAAGACTTTGAGATGGGTGATTCAAGAGAAACCCCGGGGGGCCATTACTTGTATTTGATATTTGAAGGGAGGCAGTCTTGGGTCCAACCGGCGCTCAAATTACTGTCAAATCATCTGTAATGAGCCATATTTATGCCCTCCATGTAAAAGCTTTAGCCGCCGGTGACGAAGATCTGCCTGAAATCACCAAGGAGTTGGATCAGACGGGATGGCGTCAGTCCGGTGGCTTGATCACCACTTACACACGGAACAACGGTATCTTGCAGCTGCAGCCAAAAGTTCACACAGATGTCAAGAACCGGATAAAGACTGTTACAAACGAGGAAGGTTGCATCGGATGCTTGACGATGAGCAATGGATTTGACGACATTCACAACATCTAGGGGCTTCACCGACGGGCCAAGGCAGACGACGGATTCGAAGGAATCCTCCTGCGTCATGCAGTGGAGCTGTAGGAGTTGAGCGTCGCAATCGTGCCCGCCTCCTCTTATCTTTAAGGCAGGTAGATATTTAGGCTTTCAAGTGCGATGGTGGGGGTTTGTTTCGTGTCAAATGATTGGGCAGGCTGAATTCGCTCGGGAACTTGCCTGTGCTGACGAGAACAAAGCCCTGCTTCCATATTACCTAGTGAGGAAACTTTCCTGCTTGTTCAACTGCAGACTTCACTTTCATGGCCTACATGCAAGATTTTCTATCTTTTCGAGCGTGAGCTGTTGAAGCACAGAACCATGATGAATATGATACAACGACCATCAACTGACTCATCAGAAGCTTCCCACGATAGAGACGCTTTCTCGGAAACTGTCGAAGAAAATGGGGATATCGAAAAGGCTCTATTGCCTCAAAAAGACACGGAGCCAGGGCCTCGAGGTGTTGAGGAGAAGACTCCATGGCTGAAGTTATACAGCCAAAGGCCATCTCTTGTGACCTTTTTCAATGTTGGACTTTTCATTGCCTCATGTACCATTTGGTTTTGGCCTGCACCAACGAGGCATTCTTCAAGTGTCCAAGACTATTGGAAGCGAACGTCCTTCTACTGTGAGTGTTCCAAAAGTTTGGAGTTTTGTTACGATTAGGTACGCTAAGAAAGCGTTTAAGCCCCCATCCTTGAGCGTTTCGATGTACCAAGAATCAGCAGAGTGACGAACGGTACTTTATATGACACAAGTCCGCCGTCGGTTCTTCGCCAGCGAATTGGCAAAGAGGCTGATAAGGAGTGGCATCGCATCGGCGACCATGTCTGGCCTTTGGTTATTGGAGAAGCTGATGTAAGGCAGCTTGGGAAGGATCCGCGTGTTGCTGTCAAGATTCCAGAAGACCTTGGCTACGGTTCAGATGCATACATCGCGCAGACAGAAGTTTTCCATCACCTTCACTGCTTGGACATGCTGCGCAGGGAAGTGTCATATGAGCATTGTAAGTTTCAAGGCACGAAGCCAGTCTGTATTCTGACACCTGAGCCCAGACTACGAGCCAAAGGAGGGACCTAGGCCAGGAGGGGCCCAACATCAAGCCCACATCGGCCACTGCTTCGACATTCTTGCCCAGGCAATCAAGTGCACCGGTTCAGTCGACATGATTACTTTCAACTGGGTTGAGAACTGGGAGCAGCCATTTCCAGATTTTATGAACCACAAAGTATGCCGGGACTTTGACGCGTTGTTGGGTTGGGTCAATAAGAACTCAATGGACCCGAATGTCTTTCAAGAGATGAAGTCGCCTCCGCCTGGATGGCCTGTCATGCCTGAGCCAGGCCCAGTATCGTGATGATTCTGGACGGCGAACAAGAATTAGAAAATATCGCACAGGGTCTCATACTATGGAGCCAATACGAAAACACCAAGAAACGTTTTGATGATAATCTAATTGCAGCAGAACTTGCTGTGGTCTACCCGGGCTTTGTTTACATCCGATTCTAACCGCTTTCTCTCACTGTGTTGGCGCACGTGAGAATCGATTTGATTGCGTGATTAAGCGGCTATTGCTCCGCACTTTGACCACGAGCTATCCCGTCGGCTAGACTCGAATCATGAACTTGTCAAACTTCTAAAAGACAACACTAGCCATCAGCAGGATATCATCTCGCAGCACCTTACCATGACCATGGTCACCCATTCTACGCCTCCAACCCCGCAGACCGATCTGAAGACGGTGGTCGAAGCTCGGACTCGGGAATGGCATTTCCATATTTACTTCCTGCTACAATCCCCGACTGAGACTGCTGCCGCCCTTGCCCTTCGTGATGCTGTGTTGAGACTGCGACGTGATGGTAGGTTTGGACGCAATGCCTCCCGTGAAAGGGATTGGCCGAATTCTTTGCTGAATCCCACGTCTAGGCGCGTTCGTTGCCGTTCCACTATTCAGGGTCAACGAGTTCCCTATCGGACCACACCCAGCAGGATCTTTTGAGAGTGAGTAATGCCAAAGCTGCAATCACATTAACATATTTAATGTAATGAGTTCGACTAACCAATGATTTGTGTGCAGTTTGGGTTCCCGACTCCTCATTTTCGGATGTATTCTTCTACTTGGCGGCCAACCGTGGCAACTTGAGGTAAGACCAGACCTAGTAGTGCTTTTCTTGATGCTTACCTAGACCTTAGTGTCCTTGTTCATCCATTGACATCGAGCCAACGTCGAGACCATGAGACGAGAAACGCTTGGATGGGTACCGCGTGGCCAATCTATCTTGATAGCCTGCCGTCGGATGGCGATGTCCCTCTTCAATATCCTGAGCTGGGTCTTGGTTGGTCCACATCGCCGGAGCAGGAGATCTCATTAGAGGAACGGTTGAGGAGGGGTGCAGAGGTTGAGGCCTTGTTAGCCGATGATCCAGATGCTGCGCCTGCACCTAAAGATCATTAGTTTTCTAGCCTAGACAATGCGCGCCAACTGCAACACTAAGGTAATTTGATAGCGACAGGATCTCGCCTGGCTGGGGAATAAGGAGCTCCCAAGCAGTGAAGCTTTGTAATATAGGTTTGGATTAAAAGAATCTTGGAGCACATGAACTCAAGCCATCCACGTGCGCCCTCAAAAACTACAAGCCGTGTACAGGACTGCCGCAGTTCCGGTCTGTCATACATGTCACTCGGGCACGCCGGCGAGAGCAAGCTTGAGTGGATAGCAGGAACGATGACTTGTCCACCTCTATTGGATGAATGAATGGATTCCTCTCAGTCTGCTGCTCTAATTGTGCGACTATCGACATCCAAGGTCGGATAGTAGTTTGACCAAATAGAAACGTACAGGCGAGTCGCAGAGTTTGCCTGATTACAACAATGTTTGCTCAAGCCTGCCGTTCTCGTGAAACGTTGCTTGGGACAGGATGGCATATTCTACATACTCCATATATAAATGACGCCATTTCCCGAAACGATGCTCACGATAGTCTCCGACGAGTCTCGTCTCGGATAAAGTCCTTGAATCTGCCATACTTGTGAGAAGCACATGCGTGAGAAACCAAGTAAGTCTCGGCCTTTGAACTACCTTAGAACAAGAAGACACACATCTCGAGTTGACTGACTCTAATACTCAGACAAATATCTGATAACGATAGCGATTCTGAAAATGAAAAGCGCCGCCATCATCGTCGCCGTGGTACTCACTCAAACGTCCCTGGCCGCATTCTGCGCCGCATCCGCATATCTTGGAGCAGGGCGACCTGGTAGCTGCACCGGACAGAATCTGAGTTATGGGAACTCGTCTCGGCCCGGGGTTAGCGAGTGTTTTGAAGCAATCAACGGTGCTTGTGGCTTGGTAACGGATCGAACTGTTGGAGGAGGCTGCAATTGCACCGTCAATTTCTTCTCTGGAGGTGACTGTAATCGCACTTCCGTGGGGTCTCTGCGATGTAATAGGGTTGGTGCATCACTGCAAGTCAACTTTGATCACTTCAATATTCGCTGCCCTAAAGATTGAATTGCAGGTTTAATCAACAGTGTAGGCAGGGCATAGTTGGCGTTGGAATGTTGCAATCGTTCTGTTAGAATCAGTGCCCAATGACACAAACATCATGTCGAATTCTAAATCGTTCTGGGTCAATAATCGTTAAGCAAGGTCGTCAGTGGGCCGGCTTCAGCGGCTCCAGGGGCCGGGTGCCCAGCTCTAGCGTTCCCGCGGTCTTGGCTTCAGGCCTCCATGTGCCTAAATATAGCACCTCTATTGACGCCCTCACTGTTTTCTCATTTGAGACGAATCGAGGTCTAAGAGAAGAGCGAACAGAACCAGGTAAGTAAAACAGCCATTCAGCATGACGATAGAGGGTTGTATGTTCATGCACGATACGTTTACTGTGTATGTATGTATTTATGCTGGAAGATGAGGTATCGCGAATAAAGACACAGAACTATTCTGCCCAAGACGATTGTCACAAGGTATTTACAGTGATGCGGTTTTCAACCCACGGCAAGTAGACAAAGTGGCAGTTGCTCACCAGGGATACTTCCGGGCTTCGTCTTCTTTGCTCAAGTCCAAACCTCGATGTAGCTGCTTCTGGTGCTCATTGTCAAGGTACTCTAGTAATACCTTCTCATACATCTCCCGCCCCTTGTAGTTTGCTACAGTCTCATCCCAGCTTCGAACAGCACTAGCAAGTCTTCCAGGCACGTAGTCTTCCGCAGCCAGTTCGGTAACCGGATGGAAGTACGTCCTAATTGTGAACACAATGGCCTTGGTCTTGGGAAGACGGCGCAGCGATTGCCTCTCGGAACGGAAATAGTGATGCTCAACCGCTCTATCTTTCTCAGCCGTACTCCAGCTGACAACGGGACTGTCTTCTTCACCAATACTCCAGCTCCAGGGCAAAGAATCATCGACTTGGATGAAGTAATTGTTGCGGGAGTAGATCTGGTCGCAGCGCAAACGCTTGAAGAAGCTGGCCATGCCGTTGTGAAGCTTCTCCTTGTAGTGGGGGACCTCGCCGGACGTGTGGATTTCCTCGAGAGACATGCCGAACTTGTCGCTCAATCTCCAAAAGCCGGCTAGCAGGATGGAACCGCTGAGCAAGTAGTATTTGCCGTCCGGCCGTTCAATCATGATGGCGAGGTCGTCTTGCACAAGATTGGCGGCGATGGCAGCAGGATCTTCTTTGAGAGGTGTTTCGACTATGTTGAATGATTCTCCTGACCAGAGATTGTCGATGCCGACAGGGGTCCGCTTGAACATTGTAGGGTAGCGAGCGGGGAGGTATTGGCACAGTTCTTCAAGGAGCTCCATGGCTGCAGGGTAGGCCTCCGGGTCTGTTCCGAAGCACTTCTCACCTCGTTCGGCGATTCGAGCAGTCTTGTCGGCATGATATCGAGGGTAGTGATTGTCAAGCTCAATCCAGTCCTCGGGCTGGACTGAACGAAGTCCCATTGTGACATTGTACTTGGGGCCATAGCGAAATGCACGATAGGGCAGTGGCTTCGTCGTTTCTATTGACCAGTCCGGGTAAGGACTGGGAACCGGCATCTGCCACGTCTCGGAGGCTTGCTTGGACTTTTCATTTTGGGGTGTGGATGGTGTTTTGTTGAAGAGGGCTCCTTTTCGCGGTCGCAGTGCGCCGAGCGATCGTGAGAGTATGGCTGCGGAGAAGAGGGCGAAGAGTCCGAGGAGGAGTTTCCAACCATCCGAGGTGAGCGCCGATAACGCTAACAGCGCCATATCGGGATGATGTTCTGTGTTACTTGGAAGTCGATGATCTAACACGTCGGGGGAAACGAGAGGCACCCGAGGTTTGGGGGAGGCCTATCTGTGCTGAAGATAACCAGGATCTCACCGTGTGCACATGTGAAGGAAGTGTTGTAGAGGCTAAGATTAAGATGTTCACCAGCGAACTCAAGGAAACCCCAGAGCATTATCACCTCAGCCAAGTTTTTGAGTCAGCTACGCATTAGGAAATCCCTTCCAGTAAAGACTTTGGTCCCGCTATCCGGTCGGAGCCCCGTCCCACGCCCGTATCTCTTCTCCAGACTCGTCCCCGCAAGATCGGCTCCCTCAACGAACCGATTCTCCACTTGACCGTTCCGAGATGGACGGGGATGCGCTTTACCGGAACGGGAAATTATACCCTATCGTCCTATCTTTCACATCGATGCTTGAGGACCCTTCTTTAGCAAACTCGCGGGACTGAAACCGAACCTTGTTCCCGGATGTCTCCAATGCCCAGAATGAAGAGGCTCACTTGGAAACTTGGGGTATTGCCTAGAGAAGCATTCTTACACTGATGGATGGAGCTATATATATGTCGGGTGACTCGGCTATGTTGGAGATGTAGTAGCATCACACACTCAACAAAGCCTTGACATCATCATACTTACCACATTTTTACCGCTAAATAACATCAAATCTCTATCATCACAATGGCCGCCTTCCAACACTACGCCAAGGCCCAATCAACCTTCCAGATCCCCCTTCTCGCGGGTGACAACGCTTACCTCGGAGATGTCTTCTCAAGCGACGAATCGAGCCCCGAGAAGCCCATCTCATCCGGCCTCTTCCGTCTGAAGAAGGGTGAGCCCCTTACGTACACCTACAAGTACGACGAGATGAAGATCATCCTTGAGGGCGACTATACTATCTCCGATGAGACGGGCCAGAAGGTCGAGGCAAAGCCCGGCGATGTCTTCCACTTCCCCAAGGGCTCAACAATTACCTTCACCACCAGCGACTACGGCCTGGCGTTTTATGTTGGTCAGCGCAAGAAGAGCGACTTCTGAGGAGATCTTGATATATCACCTGGCAGGAAAGGAAGGGCAATAACAGCGAGTTGACCTGGATTGTGGCAACATGACATAGGATATGACCAACTACTTTATGAATTTACAATTTCATTGCGAATCTACATGATTTCCAAACGGCCGTTCGTCCCAGAGCCCGCAATGTGTTCATTCGTGTCGTGAGCGCCCTAACGCCAAAAGACCGGACCTGTGCCCTACCCATTTCTAATCATTCCAGGAAGATGAAACAGACCAAAAGAGCGATGTCTTCGAGTTGAAGTTGGAACCAATTTCCATCACATGACTCTTATGATTACCCAAACATTGAACGTAAGTCATTATCTTCCATAACATCAATCCAGTGAACCGTAGGTGAGCCGATATCGTTGTCGTAAGCCCTCCAGATGGTCTGAACGAGATCCTTTGCCACCACGACCGGGGTCGGAGGCAAACTGCTCTCCAGGATACTCAGACGCCTCATGACGAAGTGGCGAGCACTTCCAACGTCAAGCGTCATGTTGGACATTGAGCCCTCCCGTGTTGGAGCCTCTGCCATCTGGCTGATGTACTGAGACAAGTTGTGGGAATCGAACAGCGGTGGAGGATTGAACATGTTTGACCCCGTGCCTCCCATCAGGTCTTGCTGCAGGGACCCGAATGCACCCATTATATCTGACGTGGCTGGCGCGTCGTGGCGAAGCCCCGTACTCGCCGAGATGTACAGGAGCGGTTGGATGACGCGGGTACCCGAGGTTGCTGGGATGTGTTCGAGGACCTTGACGAGTCTAAGGGCCAGGGGAATGATCCACTCGTCCCACGGCACGGAGCCACTCTCAGTCATTGGTGATTCGGCCGGCAGTCGTAGGGAGACCAGATCAGGGAAAGTCTGGTACAAGTGTAGAAGCGAAGAGAGTCGATAAGCTTCAGCAACCCTGGCCAAGTGAGAAACCGGCGTCGAGCTGTCACCAGTGTCGACATCCGGGGTCTCCGATGGGAACTCAAGCTCCAACAGTTGCTCCTCCAGACGCTGAGCTCCTATCAAGTCTTGAAGAGCGTTTGAGAAGTACTTTTGCGGATCCATGCCTTGCCTCAGTCGATGTCGTGCACTGCGACACAGCCGAATCGACTCTGCGAAAAGGCGTGTCGTGAGGGTAGATACACCGGTCCACGGGTGTGGTGAGCGCTCCTCGATAATCTGAAGCGCCAAGTCTGCGTCTCCTTGATCGAGCGGCTCATCATCGCGCACCACGGAGAGAAGCATCTCACAGTACGCCAAGCTCTTGTTAAAGAATGAGAGCATGTCCTGGTTCGCGCTCGAGAAGGAAGCCGACTGCGCATTCAGCCGGCGGATGAGAGATCTCACTTCTCTCAAGAAGGGGAGCCCGTACAAACGAGAATCGACCCAGCAGACCGTCGTTCCTAGGCAAAAGAGAGAGAATATGAGACCCGTCGGAACAGTCCGGAACTCGCCTTGCGCCTTTACGACTTGGAGCTCGGCTTGGATGAAATCTGTCGCTCGTTGCATGAGTCGAAGTGCGGATTGCCTCATGCTCGGGAGACGGGACGCTAGGAACGCGGCGGACATGCTCTCGAGAGAGCTGCACACCGTGGCGGACGTTCTCCAAAGGTCTATGGCGATCTTTCGATTGAGATTCGCGTTCGAATCAAAGCCGGACCACGCTGGGCATACCTGCTCGAACCAGTTGATGATGAACGCCGATGAGGTGTCGGCGAGACTGGGCGACAGTGAGTAAGGAGCCAGCTGTGTCTGCTCTGCGGATTTGGAGGAGACCGGTTGTTGAATGATCACACCCAGCGATGGTTGACGAGGTGACACGGGTTTCTCTGCGAAAAGCTGAGATATTTCATCCATCCCTCCATCGCTCATTTGATAAGCCCTGGTGGCATCCTCGTCCCCTTCTCCGTGCCCATCTCGCTGAGCAGAGCTCTTAGAAGAAGATGATGAGATTGAGTGCCGACTTCTGGGTGAACTACCGCTGCTTACTGAAACGGAGTTCGCTTTTTTGGCGCGCGTCTGACCCTCGGGTGCGTCGGCGGCTGGCCGTTTCGGTGATGTTTGAGTCGGAGGGTTGAAGTCGTCGAGTGTCAAAACCTGAAGAGCGGGCTGGTGTTTGAACGACCATCTCAAGCCCTGCGCGAATCCTCCACACTTGATACCCTTCCGTGTGCACTGTTGACAAGCCGGTCGCGTCTCGTCACATTTCAACTATCGCATTGATTTTGTCAGCGACCGTGTGTGGGGTCGTTTCCGTGAGATCCTCATCCATTATGGACCAGGCACGACGGGTGAGCGGCGACGTACATGCTTGGCTTTGCAAGTTACACAGCCCGATCTCGACCGAGGGTTGAGACCAGTTCTAGTTTTGGATACCGACTTTGAATTCTTGGGGGGTACCATTGAACTTTATCTCAACCAGTGAGGGGGTTCTAAGTCCGGATGAATATTGCTGATTGCGGTAGTTGATAGGATATCAGATTAAGATCGGTCTGAAGCGAGTTCGAGTTCGATGAGCAAGGGAAAGCTGAGAGCAGGCCACAAGGACTTTTTTGTTCCGAAAGTCACCGGTAGTCGGTCCTCATCGTGATCGGATGAGTGTTCATCTTGGTAGCCCAGGTCCATTCGCGGCAGTGCCATAAACGCGGGGGATGCCATCTTATGACGCTATTTGTAGTTTAAGGTATCTTGGCTGGTGCATGATAAGCCAGCGGCGTTCATGATTGGTGGTAGGGGCATGTTTGATGGATGAGACTGGCTGGAGCAGCCCGCTGGCCATCCTTGCAGCGGGAGAGCGGCACAGGTGCGAGAGCGATGCCGCTCGACGCTCGTGGATGTTCGTTTCGCTTTAACATCGTGGTTGCTTGTCACTGGCCATAGAGCTTCGCCGTGTTTGGTTCCGACAGGCCACGCCCGGAAAATATTGTGCCCAGCCATTGTAGAGATGAAAAAGTTCTGCGGGGTTCGTGACTTTGAACTGAATACTTAGTCTAGCGCTCATAAAACTTATGAAGAGTTCGCCTGAGATGCACGCTGCCTGTCGACGCTCCGAGGGTCCCGGTGACATGGAGCAAGTATCAGGCAGTCCGCTAGAGGCTCAGCTCGAGACACGAGAGCCCAGCCGTGAGTCAGGCAACTCGCATAAGTCAAGATATACCTATCACAAGGTATATGGCCACTGGCTCTCCAGCCCGAAGACCAAGACTACCCCAACAAAGAAGGGAAAAAGAGAACATGGGGATCCCGAATTCCCGCAGACTCCCTCCTTTTCGGCGTTGCGGCGATAAGAAAGGCCAGGGGTGGCAGAAGAATTCCAGGGATTCAAGGGGTTCCAGACCAAGATGCCCAAGATACACGGCGATCGTCCCCGGTATACCCCGCATTATGCGAGCCCACAGCCCAATCATGAAGACTCTATTGTCCTTTATCTATCCCGGTACCGGGATGGACGCCGCGGGAGGACCACCCGGCCCAAGATAAGCCTAGCCAGCGCCTCTTCGTGTTTCCCACGCTGCCCTCGCACTTTCGGAGACTCCTGCCATTGTTCTTCGAAATTCATATCAAACGTTCTATCAGAGTGGCTTAAACTTGAGTGATAGGGTGGCTGCATAAGCGGCATTCAGATCCTCCGACCTCGGCCGGCATGGCTGTTCCCTGGCCGAAAGTCACGATACCAATGAGACCGGCCAGCTCATCAACGTGTGAGAAGAACGCGTATATCTTCATCTTTCAAGTGCATGCCTTTGAATAGGGATGGGTATGGGAGTTTCAACCTTACTTCGGCGCTCATGTACCCCGCATTCTGCTATTCCTGATCCGTCGAGCGCGCTTCGCTCCCGCTGATCTGCTGTTGTTTTCATTAGTAACTGATTCCACTCTCCTCAATGTACCTCCACGTCACCTCGCGCTCCCGCGTTAGAGACCGATGACTCTTGGTTCATCAGGCGTGGCAATAGCGCTGCTCTTCTTCATATGGACCTAGGATCTTGAAGCCGAGAAAAGCCAAAACATCACGACGAAGCTTGACAGCAGCTCCAAGCTGCGTGTATGCTGGAATACCCCCCAACTCCTCTCGTGATCGGATTAGTGAGTCACCTTATGAAAGCATTGTGAACGCATGATCCGAGGACTCCTAAAGTTTCATTGTTCCTCATGAAGACATCGCCTACTTATGCATTATGGTGAAACTACAACCTGTCATTCAACAGTCCACTTCTTCTCCCATCCCTTGAAGAAAGGGGCTTCAGCCAAAGTGTGCGGCTCCCAATCCTTTTCAATCAAACCATTCTGAATCTGATACTTCTCATACTCCTTCAACGTCGGCTTTACCACGTGCTCTACATGCCATGTCCCCTTATATTTCAGAAGGCTCTCCTTGCCCTCGTTCAGAACTTTGAGAACTAAAGTAGGGATGTACGGCTCATCGTTGAACTCTGTCAACGGTGTGAACAGTGCCTTGAAATTGAAAACAACGCCACCAGATAGTGGTAGGCGGCGCAGGGTCTGCCAATCGACACGCAAGTGAACATCTTCGGGTTGCAAGCTAGGGTTTTGATGCTCGCGGTGAGAGAAATTGGGGTGCTCTGAGGGAAGATAGAGCGGCTGACCCTTCTCTAGACCCCATGAACCGCGTTGAATAGGTTTATTGGTTGGCATTTTAGTGAAGAACCTAGAAAGATGTTAATGATGGAAGTAATTACCGGAACCAAGTAGTGAGCTCACCGATCCATGCTAAACTCCATCTTCTCTTTGTAGTCTGGAACCACCTTGTGTATTCCTGGCAGCCCCAGGCCCGCCTTTTCACTAAGCTTCCACCCAACGGAGGAGCAGATAATTCCGCCTCGTAGAACGTACTTTCCCGTCTCATGATCCCGAAGCATGATCCCAAAATCTTCAGGGACGTTGTCCAAGAGCACGATCAGTGGCTCGGTAACAGATAGATCCGTTGTCGTGCCTAGAATGTTGTTGACCAAGATGTTGCCATCGAGCCTGAATTGTCTAGGATACCTTGCGCAGATGAATTGGATGACCATTTCCATGAGTTCTTTGCACGCGAGCTCGCATCCGGGCAAACTATCAAGCACATCACGGCCGTTCTTTGCGTACAGATCTTTGCGTTCGGCAATGCGCTGCTTGTATGTATTTTCGAGCTCGATCCAGAAATCGGTGTCCATCTTGGTTAAAGCTGGGAGTCTTTGGATAAGTTTAAGTGCACAAATCCTAAGATACTGAGGGGACTTACACATAGTCTGGTGGTAAGCCCATCTAAACGGTCGATAGGGCCGCGGAACGGCCTTATCAATATCGAAATTCACCAACGGCGACGGCAGCGGAACACCTGAAATAGTCGCATAATCGGGAAAGTTGCCAAGTTTCTGAATATCATCGATGCTGAAGCCACTGAAGTTAAAGAGGGAGGGGTCGGCGGATCGGTAGTCGGCATCCACCTGCAACAGAGGCTTCGGCGTCACGGCGAGGTCCACCTTGATGCCCGCGAATTGTGGTCCAAGCTCCGCAATTGTGGCCCTCTGGGACGGCGGGAACACGTTCACGTAGCTCGGCTTCTCGCCCGTAGTCACGGAGGGCTTCTCGGCCGGCTGGCTGAAGGACGGGGCGCGGTTAAACCTCGAGAAAACCTTCCGGCTGTCGATGAGAGTTCTTATGAGATAGAGGAGGGCACCGGTAAATGCGGCGATGCCAAGCACTGTGGTGACGGCATGATGGTCAGCGACTTCAACAGTGAAGGACATGGCGAAAGGTCAGAGCTTTAGTCTGTAATACGAAATGACTAGGCACCGATACGTTCATTCTCATCGCTGAAAGCTAGGAGATAAGTATCCAAGACTCTCGAGGACGACCATGGTCTTTCAAGATGCTCAGAAATACAAGTCACAAGGTGGAATAGATGCATCTGGTAGAATTAGCCAGCAGTCGCCCGTATGCTACAGCTTGATCATCCGCATGATGCGGCGCGTTACAGTCTGGAGGGTAGGACGTCGTCCTTCACACCCTCACCGGAACCGGAAAGATTATACGGACGAGAGCTTGATCCATTTCGCGTCACAGAGTCTAGCCCAATTTGTTCAATCTACCCGGCACTCTCTCTCACCCACTGATGATGCAGCGATAAGGTCAGGAACATGGGATGCGGGATGACCCCGCTTGGTGACGACCCTGTCTTGGATGTCTCCCACGTCTCCCACTCTGCCCTGGCTGTGGCCGTCCCTCGCGCGGCTCGAAGCTGCGGAGGCCGCAGTGTCCGTGCATCTCTCTAATGCTGTCAGGGTTTCCTTGCATGTAAGCTCCTATCAAATAATACTCAACTATTTCGGTGCTGCCAGAAGCCAATGATTAGCTTCACGGCAGGATTAGTATACATGGCGTATGACGCCGTGCGTCCTCCCCTATTTCACGTGTTGAACCCGAACGGCTGCCCTTCAAACCGTCTCCCTCCCGCTCAACTTAACTCTAATTGGATAGGCTCCCGCATCCGTTTCCAGCAGTTTAGACCGGTCGTGATTCACAGCCTACAGGGCAAGACAGTTGAACCCACTGATCCTCATCCCTTTCCAGTCACCCCTAGCAATGCCCAGACTTTTGGTGCCCAGAAACCACCTCGAGAATTTCCTGGATTGAGTAGAAAGATAGGTCTTTTCGTGTTCCCGGTGAAGCTCGTCTACCAGGGATAAGCCAATCAGGGAGGTTGGTGTTATCTGGCATCGGGTGCCCAAGAGAATTGTGAACATGCTTAATATTGTTACAGAGCCAACCTTATCTGGGATTCGGACTGGTGCCAAGTGATAGCCATACTGACAGCATGGCATCTTGGCCAACATCTGAAGATTGACGAAAGCTTTAAGTGGCTCCCTGATGTCCCGGCAAATTCGCAGGAGGAAGTTCCGAGGCTTTGGTTCTTTAACGAGGAAAAAGAAACATTGAGTTCTTCTGTTCTTCTGTTCGCCTTCTCAATCGCCGCATCGTAATATCGCCACCCTTTGACGTATTATCGTGATACAACATGGCAGAAGTCATCCCTGTGACCGAGTTCCCAGACTATGCCACCGACCCAACGGGCGGCAACCCAATCACTCATGACCTCAATGCACCCTATGACAAGGTAAGGTGACAAACTGACAGAAGACCTTCCCAAGCGCTTGAATAGTTTTCAATTGGGGTTCAAAGCCCGCTAACCTGTGTCATCAATTCGTAGGGTGACCTTTGCTGGGTGCTAGTATGCACGATCCTATGCTGGCAGATTACCCCGGCCATTGGCTTCCTCTACGCCGGAATGCACCGTAGGAAATCGGCCATGACAATGGTTCTGCAGTCACTCTTCTGTGCGTGCGCTTGTGGCCTTCAATACTGGATCTACGGTGCCTCGCTGTACCAGTCACGCACAACGAATCCCATCCTCGGAGACCTATCCCACGCGGCTTTCCACAACCTTTTGGCCTCTCCGTCATTTGCGAACAGTGATATCCCGGATATTTTGTGTATGGTCAATCCACTCCGAGAAATATTGAGGATGATGTAGAGAGAAATGCTAACCATTTTCCGTGGGACAGATGCAGCATTTGGCTTCACTTTCGTGACTGCTACGGCAATGATTTTGGCTGGTGCTATGCTCGAGCGCGGTCGCCTCTGGCCTAGCATGCTTTTCCTTCTCTGCTGGAACACATTCGTATACTACGTGTAAGTCCTAGCCTGTCTCCCCCATGAAATCACCTTTGCTGGTAGTCTGACCTGCCCTTCAGCTTGGCATATTGGGAGTGGAACCCCAGCGGCTGGCTTTACAATCTCGGCCTCTACGACTTTGCAGGTTCCGGTCCTGTCCACATCGCCAGTGGTTTTGGAGCCCTCGCCTGGTCAATGATGTTGGGCCCCCGTATCGACGACAGCAGCACATCCACGAAGAAGAGACACATTCCCCAGTTCAGGGGCCACAACCCCTTATTGATGACTCTTGGTACCGTTCTCATCTGGTTCGGATGGTTTGCCTTCAACGGAGCTAGTACGGCCAACCTCAGCTTACGGTCCATCTATGTGGTTGTGAACACCAACTTTGCTGCATGTGGCGGTGGTGTTACGTGGGCTCTCTTGGACTACATGTACATGAAGAAGTTCAGCTTGGTCGGCTTCTGCTCGGGTATCATCTCTGGTCTCGTCGGTATCACCCCGGCAGCTGGTTTTGGTAAGAACATTGGTCTCGTGGCAGTTCCGCGTTTGCGCTAACGACAATTTCCAATAGTGCTTGTATACGTCTCGCCTCTTGTCGGAATCATCACAGCGATTTGCTGCTTCTATACTGTTCGATATCAGCACCTCCTCCGCGTCGACGACGGCCTCGATATCTTTGCCATCCACGGTGTCGGTGGATACGTCGGCGACATCCTGACCGGCCTCTTTGCCCACAAGATGGTACCGGCTCTCGACGGAGTTAGCGGCGACACGTATGAGGGCGGATGGTGGAATGGAAACTTTAGGCAACTCGGACTCCAGTTGGCTGGTGCGACGACCTGTGCTGCGTGGTCGTTCTTCGTTTCCTGCATCCTATTGTTCCTCATCAACAAGATTCCGGGCATGCACCTACGTGCTACCGAGGAAGATGAGCTACGAGGTCTTGACTATGCTTACATTGAAGACATCGTGTCGGATTATGATGACGGTAATATGCTCATTCACAACGGCCAGGTGGTGGAGAATACAACTCCGGCTAGCTTTTCGAAAAGCTCTTAGACGGTTAGCCGCCTTTACTTATAGTCCCGAAGGATTAGAAGCTCCACATAGACATTTAGCACACACTCTTCACTTGAGCTATGATGAAATGTTCGTCCGCTTGAGCCTATTTTGGGGTCTAATGATTACCTCCATGCCTGCCTGCAGGCTGTATCAACACGAGTTATTGCTCTGACAACTCCAGGACGCACATAGTCTCATGCCAAGCGAAGACTGGCTGATTTGAAGCGCGCTCAAGGTCAAAAGACGCCGCCAGTCACCCTTCCCATGCCACCGCGGGCCGAGCTTTCCCTGCTCCGTCTTCCCGCCATAGCTGTCGACAATGCCGACCGAAGGTATCAAGAGGAAGCCATAAACCCTATAGTAGAATGCTGAGATGATGAGTACTCCGCAGCATGATTCGGGATAAAGAAGTGCAAAAACTACCAAAAGCAATGAGTGTCGTATAGGCAAACGTGTTACCCCTGACCATCTCCCACTGAGCTGAGATCAGCAGGCCTAGACCAGCGAGGAAGCAGAGGTTGGCGATGAATACGGCCTGGTTTTCGATGTTTCGGATGCCTAGATTGGACAGTGATAGGGTCATCAATGTAGTTGCAAAAGCGCCATAGCCAAAGGGGCTCTGTGAAATGACGTTGTCAGCCGGGGGGTTGAGAAATTTCGAAGGTGCGGCTCAGAGTGGACAGAAGGAAACATCATGGGGACCCTACCGAGTTAGCAAGACGCTCTTTGGGGCTTGCGGGTAGCCTGATCGACTCGATATCGACTTTAGTCTCGGCAGACATATTAAGTAACTTCTGACAATATCGGGTGCACTTAGGGATTCGGATTAAGTGTGTACTAGTAATTACGTGTGACGACAATCTTCAAGGTTGAGGCTTTAGTCAAGATGCAAGCATGGCAAAGCAACTCCAACATTGCGATAAATAACAGTGAGTGGACATAATGCTTTCATTGAAATAGGAGGTGAAAAGGTTTCAATCGGCCATGAGCCATGTTGACCGGGCTTTGAAATGCTGGCGAGATTCCACTTCGGCGACTCCATCCAAGCCTCATCACATGTTCCACCTGAGAAATTTTGGCGAGCTCTATTCTTGCCACACCATGACTTTTTGATACAAGTCAGTTATTGCCGTGCTCCTCGTAAAAAGTACATGTAGTCTTGTGCATGAACGTACATCTAGCATCGATTGCCACATAAATTGGCGTTATTTTGATCAACGTACTAATATCCTGTTCTAATGAATAACACCTTTATCGTCGGACTCACAGTAGAATCGTTTGCCGACAACAGAGAAATACGAGAGGACATGTATATCAAAGACGTCCAGAGTTCCAGCCCACTTGTTACTATGTCGACTCAGGAGCACTAGCAGGTCAGTATCTACGTTTTTCTCGTCAGAGAATACTTTGTGGTATCCCGAAAGGGGTGTGCTGAAACTTTGAATCCATTGTGCCACGGAATAGACTTTATGCAAGTTCGATTCCGAACTTCCGATGACAAGATGCGGGGTGATCGGCACTTGCTAATGTGATGCACTTAGACCGTGAAGCCGGCTCGTGTGGGTGTGCATCTCGGAACCGGAAGTAATGGCATTGGGGATATTGTACTATTGGCTAATGCGGAGAGACCGGGTAAACAGTATTTGGCTACAAGGAAATCGATATATGACTTGATTCCCGTTTCACCGTCCGTGTTCATCAGTCCTCCGGCAACAAACTAGTCGTGCATCCATCGAACTAGATCTCAGGACCTTCGCGACGTCTGACGACTAAGGCATATCCTCGCAGCGAAAATGGCCATTATTTCGGAAGTCGCAGCACTCGTTTCGAATAATCTCCCAATTCTGATTGTTGCTGTCTTGGCGATTCACCTGGTCCGGAACTTCACAACTAAAGGTGTTTCCAAGATACCAGGCCCATTCTTAGCCAAAATCTCCAATATCTGGAGGTTCGTTGACGTAGCGCGCGGAAGGGCTCATGAGACGCACATCAAGCTCCATGCACAGTACGGACAGTACGTACGACTTGGACCGAATCTAGTCAGCGTCCAAAATCTCGAAGCCTTGAAGACGATTTATGGCGTGAACAAGGGATATCGTAAGGTGAGTTAGACCCGTCTTGTGACATTCGTGGCGGGTGATATTGAAGATGGTTCATCTAGACAGAGTTCTATGCGGTGCAGCAGCAGCTCGCGGATGGCAAACCGACACAGACACTTTTCACGACGCTCGACGAGGACTTCCATGCCAAGATCAAGAGACCTATCTCGAATCTCTATTCTATGAGCACCCTGACAGAGTTCGAGAGCTTCGTCGATAGCACAATAGACAAGTTGCTTGAGAAGTTGGACGACTTTGCCGAGGCTGAACGGGAGTTGGATCTCGCGACATGGCTTCAGTATTGTATAGTGGCGCTGCCCAGTGACTTTGAACCACGTAGCTGACACCAATGCTTCTCAATTTAGATGCCTTTGATGTGATTGGAGAGTTGACCTTTGGCAAGCCGCTCGGGTTCCTCGACCAAGGTAAAGATGTTGGAGATGTGATGCTGTCGCTGGAAAAAATGGTTGACTATGCAGGAATGGTGAGTTGTGATGGAAACTGGACATGAGTGAGTAGTGCGTCGCTGATCAATGGCATCACCAGATTGGTCAAATACCTTGGTTGGATCATCTTTTTATCAAGAATCCGATCAAACGCAAATTCGGCGGTGGTTCGACGGGAGCTGTGGCTCAGTTCGCGCGGCAATGTCTCGAAGAGCGTCTTCATCGTCCAGAGGGAAAGATAGAAAACCCTTCACATCGCGACTTTCTCACTCGCTTCCTGGAAACCAATAAGATGCATCCTCAAGTTGTTGACGATCGACAGGTCTTTTCATGGACACTCAGCAACGTCAACGCTGGGTCTGACACAACAGCAATCTCACTACGCGCAGTACTCTACTACCTTCTCAAGAATCCCTCAACTTTGGATAAGGTCATGACAGAAATCGTGGTTGCTAGAGAAAGCGGCAAGATGTCGATACCAATGACATGGAAAGAGAGCCAAGAGTTGCCATACCTGGATGCTGCCATCAAAGAAGCGCTCAGGCTTCATCCTGCAGTCGGACTGCTTCTAGAAAGAATTGTTCCCAAAGCTGGCATTCAACTGCCTGATGGCCCATTCCTGCCAGAAGGCACCGTGGTGGGCATCAACCCCTGGGTAATGCATCGTCACCCTGCATTCGGCACTAACCTAGACGCCTACGTACCGGAGCGATGGCTTCAAGGCGAATACGAGTCCCAAGGGCATTATGAAATCCGAAAGGCGGAGATGCAGGGAGCAACCTTCACGTTTGGCGCCGGTCCACGTACGTGTATCGGCAAGAATATCAGCTTGCTTGAGATTTACAAAGCGATTCCGACTCTTCTTTATACCTACGATGTAAGAAAAACTTCCAATCCTAGAAGAACTTGAAACTAACAATACCGCACCTTTAGATCAGCTTGAGCTATCCAGATAAGGAATGGGATACTGTGAACGCGTGGTTTGTGAGACAAAAGAACATCCATGTCAAGTTGACCAAATCCGGCAGGAGTTGAGGTTTGTAGATGCCAAATCAATCCATGCTTAGACTAAAGTATTGATTTCTTAACGGAATTGAACGTAAGATGAAGTTTCTCGTAGTCTCCAGCTGGCGGATCGTTGTAGAAAAAGGAATGCAACCAGGAGTCGGGACCTTTTGATCGACCAACTGCAGGGCCTTGTCACGATTATGATGCTGTATGAGTAATCGATTGCAGCGAAGGAAATAACGTCCCGCCTGTTTTCTTTCAAGTCGCAGTGTAGGTCAGTCGCTTGCTTATGCCTAGAGGCTGGCGTACTCTTCTGGCTGCGTATGTCGTCTAATCAACCTTGACAACAGCACAGAAAACCTTGCCAAGTCACGTATTGACATGATGGATGGCCCAGTGAAAAAGGTTTGCAGATGACCTTGATGGGATTAGTTCGATTTCTTAAAAAAAGCCGCCCTCCCACCTCTCCCTCGTCCGCCCCCCTTTCCCTCCTTCGCACCATGACTGGTTCACACACCATGCACTGCCCACCACAGCCATCTCCCTAGCCGCCGACATCTCTTCTTCATCTCAATAGACCAGCCAGTGAATACAACGAAGAGATGAAAGGGGATTCGACCTGGAGGTAGTGTAGTACCAGGTCGAATCGAAGAACAAACATTATGGCCGCCTTATCTTCGAAGCCTGGCGGGCTTAGCTCAAGAACCGCCATGTCCGTTAATTATGCCCACGCTCTCTTGAACCGCGTGCGGCACACGACCACGCTCCCAAGGAGAAGCGCATCAACATGAAGAGAAGAAAAGGGAATTCATGATGTCGGGAGGATTGGAAGACATTGATAGCCTTCTGGGATGGGGGGTGAGGGACGACAACCGGTCAGTACGGAGAGCAGAGAGTAGGAACCTCCTTCTGCGACGAGGAAAAACGAGGCGATATTGACGTCACTTTAGGTATCGCGTGGGAGGCACAGCTAACCTCAGGGAAGGTCCAGAACAAGACACTATACCATCGGCGGAAGCAGCGAGAAGGAACGCAGCAAGTGGGCATGCAGGACGGCCGCAGAATCAAGCGTCAGCCCTTCAGGTGCAAGCCTTTGTTCTTGCACTCCTCGCATAAGTACGGAAAGAATAATTCTGGGACCTCAAATTGACTGGCAACAACTCACTGGAGAGAAACTTGGGAGCAGGATGCGTCGAAACTGCCGCAGCTAATTCAGGCCAGAGAAGGGATGCGACCAGAATAAATCAGATTGGAAGCCCACCCAGAACATGTGGAGAAAACATTCCGATCAGCTCTAGGGTCTCTTTGTCCAAGAGCCAAGTCAAAAGTACTCTCAAGTCTTCATACCGGTTTCTCAGAGACTCTGGAGCCGCCGTCTGGGAATTCTTAGACCAGCCTCACCTTCCATCTCACCCTACCCAAACCCGGGCGTCTCCTTCTTTCCCTTGCATCTCCCGTCCATATCTAACCACTCGGAGCAGCCCCCTAGCCTTCCATCGCAAAGACAACCAACATCAAGAACGTTCACGGAAAGAATACTTCCTGCTGGCATCGGTTCCAAGTAGCTGAGCCTCCAAAGTATCATCAACTCCTTCCACCCGTCTCCTTTCCTTCACAGACAGGAGACCGTTTCACGCCCTCATTTCCAACGCAAGCCACCATTTTAGCCCCACACAGACCGCGAATCAATAACGACAGAGAGTCGAGACGGCCTGGTTCATCATGGTCAGAAGTCTTGATGGACACATACACGGACGCCAAGGTCGGTGCCTAAGGTAACTAGGTATGTTGGGCATCTGTCAGTGGCCCTCATGCGCCGTTCTAGGGCTCTCCTCATGCTTTGCGGGCAGTAGGCTCCCACGCCTCGCTCTTTGGGCTTCCTCCTTCTTCGTTGAGAACCTCCTCAGAGACCTTCTCCGGGACCGCAATCCGCCTCTCCAACTCCTTCCATCCTAAGGAAAGCACACCAAGCGTTGCGAAAAGCCATCCAGTCCCACACAGGAACGCAAGATCCGGACTTTGGTGGCGGCCGCCGCTTCCCACGAGACCCAACGGAAAGGCCTGGGCCGTCTCCTCGAAACTACCTTCCACGCCGTGCGTCAACTTGACACGGACCATGCTCCTAGCAGGACACCCAGTGACGCCCTGAAAGACGGAGACACCGTCCCGCGTCGTCGTCCGCCAAGGACAGATGGAAGGAAGGGGTTCACGGCTGCGAAGTGGGCGAGCGAGGTGTTTTGGGACAAGTTGTCTGCAGCAACCGTGCCGGAGAAGAAAGAGAAGGGCCATCTGCCTATCACAATTCATCGCCCTTGTGCCGCCATAGTCGCATTTCGAGGCCAAACCTGGACACAGCTAAGACAGAAACGCCCCAGCCTGCACATAGGAAAGGGGGCGCATAAGGTACTTTCATGGCGAATTTCTCTGATTTAATAGAACAAAAGATATCCGAAACGTACAAGACGGAAAATGACAGAAAGCTTCAGGCTCATACTCCAGGATCATCATTCATTCGGCCACTGCCCATGCTTGTGGAAAGTCTCGAGGGTGATTGATGGGGCATGAAGGTGTGGCTGAGCCCCGCCTGAACCGAGCGCTAATAACCGAGCAAGTTGGGCATGATGAGGGGTGGTACAACCATGAACCTCTCACTCTTGAAATCGTTCTGACTCTTACCATAGTCGTATTACCACACGCATCATCTCATCTAAGAACTCACCGCCAAAGCCTTTACACTTTATTCAAAGACAATTGAAACTCATAAATTATGGCTGCGCAAGCGAAAGAGCCACAGAGTCAAAAAGGTTACGTGCCTTTGATTAACAAGGTCGACAAGTTGAGTAACTCAATCAATTGAATTTGATCTCACTCCTTGAGCGCAATGAACTGCTGACCACCAACCAGTGTCCCTCTAGACTTTGATTTCAACACTCTCTACAAGCTCTTTCTCCCCAATGATGTTAGACCGCAGGGATTCATGGTTCCAAGCACGGTAGAGCGTCTTCCGTGGACCCCAGACTTCCACATCGACCGTGAGAAGCGCACAGTGCAGCTGCTCAGCTCCGCGATCAAAGACGGCGAGAATCCCGGCAAGGCGTACACAGCTGCCTTCCAGCGCGTCGTCGACGCCGCTATCGCGTCTGATTCTTTCCCCTCACTGAACAAGCTCCACAGCGAGCAATTCAGGATCATCGGCGCGAACCACTTTGTCTCAATTGAGCGATTTCCAGCACCTCTGTTTGGAATTTCGTCGCGCGGGGCACACATGACGGCCTACGTCCAGACGAGCGAAGGGATGAAGATCTGGGTGCCCAGGCGGAGCGCGCACCTCTTTACCTTCCCGAACCTACTCGACACCACTGTTGCGGGCGGTGTCAAGGCCGAGGACTCGCCCTTTGACTGCATCATCGCCGAGGCGACGGAGGAGGCGTCGCTGCCGGCAGACTTTGTCAAGGAGAATGCCCGGGCTGTTGGCGCAGTGACGTACTGCAGCTTGAACAAGCAAAGAGGAACGTTCTTCCCGACTGTTCTCTACGTCTACGATCTTGAGCTGCCAGAGTCGATTGTCCCTAAACCAGGCGACGATGAGGTTTCTGGGTTCGAACTGATGACGATTGGCCAGGTCAAGGATGCCATGCTGGGAGAACAGTTCAAGCCCAATTGTGTTCTGGTCATGCTCGACTTCTTCATCCGCCACAACATCATCACGTCCGAGAATGATGATGAGTATCTGGAGATTGTCACTAGGATGCGGCGGCATCTCCCGGTACCGACCAGTCCGGAGCGAAGATGATAGATCACACTCATGCCGAACCGTTGGCAAGCTGAGCCGATAGACATTCTGATCCATATGGATACTAGACTCATGTTATTGTAGATCATCTGTCGGAATAGAAGTCAGGTTCGCGGGCCGAGAAAGTCAAGCATCTCAAGACTAGAACTCTCACACGACAACAACACCCGAGCTGTTTGGGGGAATCATCCGCCTAAATCCACTGAGCAGTCATTTTCTCGAAATGTGTATGAACAGTAGTATGATCACTTGTATTAAATGAACCGAAGCAGAAACAAGTACAAAAGTGTGATTTGATCTAAAGTTTCTTGCACAGTCTCGTGTTATACTCGATTTCTTCCCAATCTTCCGTACCAGGGGTCGCAACGGCGTAGAAGATGCCGTTGGGGTCCCACTTCTTGCGCAACTCAAGCAGCGTCGGGTAGACCGGACCCCAGAAAGCATCTTGCCAGTTGGGCTGGAAGGGATCAGCCTGAAGAGATGGTTAGTCAAGCCTCGCCTCGGTGTAGTCATGGAGCATCCAACGGAACTGACCTCGTTGACGTAGGTGCACCCATCAGGGCCAGCCTGTCTCAAAGCCTCATCCTGAATATTGGTCAAGACGTTCTGCAGGTCCGCTTTCTCTTCCAAGCTGGCGCCATAAAGAACCGGTATGACACTGATGATGAAGTCGGTCGCGTTTCTGAAGGCTGGGTGAGTCGCACTGTTTGCTACCGGCCATCCATGGCCAGCATTCCACCTGCTTGATGTCAGACTTATTCCAGGAACGAAGACCAACTTACTTACAGATGTCCCACCATGAAACCAGCCAGTCCTTCTCGGGGGGTAGCAACGGTCTTGAAAGCATCAACGATCTGGTCGTTCCGCTTCTCAACATCAGTGTGGCTAAACATCCACCCGCCGGCTAAGGCCTGGGTACCAGCCTGCTCGTCTTGGAAAAGGTCCGTGTAAAGGGCGAAGAACGTGCCGAAACCTTTGGTGGAAGACTCAAAGGGAATATTATTGGCCTTGAGTTCATCAAGCATTGGCTTGATAATCGCGTCGAGTTCCCCCTGCGTCTTACCAATCGCCACAAACGGCTGGACAGTGAGCATCATCGAACCGAGCTCAAAGTAAACGTACAACCCGCTGTCGACGAAATGATTAGACTACTTGTGGAATACGCGTACTCCCTCCCAGAACGTCGTCTCGTTGGCTCCGCTAGTCCCATTGACGTACAAGACGCCGCCGGCTGCCTTCTCCTCGGGGTACGTCCGGAAAGTCACTGAAGTCACGATGGCGTACGAAGAAGGTCCGCCGCCCTTAAGCCCGAAAAACAGATCTGGATTCTCGTCCGCGTTCGCCTTGACGTACTCGCCCTCGGCGGTGATGGCCTCGAACTCGAGTGCGTTGTCAGCGGTCATGCCGTGCAGCGTAGTCAGTGGGCCATGACCTCCGCCGCCGACGAGACCTCCAGCAACGCCCACGGTGGGACATTCACCAGTGACAACGACGACGGGAGGATCTTGGGCGTTTGCTGCCCTCAACAGGGCACGACCCTGGACTCCGGCACCGAGAGTGACGGCGCCGCCGGAGTAGTCACCAGGACCGGTCCATTGCTCAGCAAAGGTGATATCCTGGAAGCTGTGAGTGTTGATTATGAGAGCACCCCAACCCGTGCTGCGTCCGATGAAGTCATGGCCGGTGTTGCGAATGATCAGGCGGAGGTTGTTGACTCTCGCATAGTCGATACCAGCCTTGATGTGTTGCTTTGTGGTCGCCTGGATTACATAGACGCCATAGTTGCCCAGGGTGCAAGACTCTTCAGGGTTCTCGGTAGGCTGACATGTGGAGTTGGTGAAATACTTTCACAGATTAAGACCCAGCTGATTAGTTCTTCGATGAGCATCAGCTTATCTAACTCTGCTTTCTGCGAGATAGGGGAGGCAATCAAGAGGATTGACTTACGACCATTGCTCATCCGTGTAGATAGCGCTGAGTTCAGCACACTTCGCTGCATCGTATGTTTAGATTGTGCCGAGGGTACCGTTGAAGGTGTTGTGGCAAACAGCTTCCGGAGGGATGTGAACGTGAAGGTTGCCTTCAACAGTTGTGTTCAGCTTCTCCCAGTCATTGGGCTTTGGCCGGTGAGCTCAGAGTCCCAGGGCCAGCTGTGACTTTGATTGAGTTCCTAAGCGGACGTAAGGAATTGAGTTGGAAGTTGAGTGGAGTTTGACTGGAGGCTGATATCGTGCGTAATCCTTCCGGCTTGGTCTGTGGGTTGAGGTCGTATTAGAGCTGAGGAAGAGTTCTGTCAGCCATCTCTTGTCTGTCGGCTTAACTATGAGACCTTTTCAGATCAAGCTGTTGAGGTTGCATTGTCATCTTCTGACCTAAGAAGGCCAAGACCTTGGTAGCAGGATCTCGGAGCCGACAACGATCTTTTACCGACAAAGAGCAATTCTCGAAAGATTCCAGTGACCCATGCAAAGCTGTGATAAGCAAAGGCACTGTGCCGACTTGGCACAACGAAGAGCTTCCGCAATCTTGGACTCGGGGCTGCAAGAACCTTTCCCTCGTGGGTTTGGATGGCATGGCATACAAATGGTTTCATGAACAGGATGTCGTCTTATCTCCTTGCCACAGTGATTTATGGGTGGAGAGAGTTGAGAACGTTCGTGAACAGGACCCCACCAAACGGCTCAAGAGTCAACGCTGCCCAACGAGTTGATCGCACGAAAGCATACGACAGAAAATGACAAAAGCTACCTGTATCTTTCTATTCAATACCTTTTTCTCGGAGGCAGAATGCTTGTAAAATCTAAAATGAAATTCAATTCGCCATTGGTTCAAAGAGGGACGATGCCTCGTCTATCCCAGTCGCGCCAGTGCAGTTGTCTGAACAGAGACATCGTTGCCCAGCGTCAGCACTAGCGATGTTTCTTCTCAACAGGGAAATTCCCAAAGAACGTCTCTGCCACCAGAGCTTAATCTCACGTCTTGGATATCATAAGGTATGAAGACTTTCTAAGAAGTTGGTTGTGTCTTGAATTGGCTGTGAGTACATGCAAGTTACATTTAGTACCAAACGCAGCCCTTTCCCTACAGATAGAGACACACTTATGGAAGCATTGAAAGACTGGCATCGTCCACCCCTCCCAGCTGTTTCCAAACAGAACCAAGGACCAATTACCTTCTTACAATCTTAGCTGGCATTCCTTCTTTGGGATGAGCAGTGATCTGTGTCCCCGTCATCCACTGGAAACCTTTCTCCCCGAAAACCTCTGGCGCATCCTCAGCAAATTGTGGCACAACTTCGAGCTCTCTCACCGTCAAAGCTAGGATGAGTCGCATCTCGACGAAAGCCAAATCCTGACCGATGCAATTCCTCGGACCCAATTCGAATGGTCGGAATGCGCTCTTCACTGGGTGTAGAGGGTCGCCGTCCTTAACCAGCCATCTCTCGGGGATAACTTTATCGGGTTCTGGCCAAAGCGCTTCCCATCGGTGCATCGCCTGCGAAGCGACGAACATCATAAACCCGTCAGTAGGGAAACGCTCACCTGTCTCCGGTGCGGTAATGAAAACATCAGGAGCTCCTTGTCGTACGGTTCCAACGGGCGGATAGAGGCGAAGAGTCTCTTTCAGCACGGCGTTTGTGTAAGAGAGTTGGTTTAGCAAAGCGGGATTCTCGATGATGCGGGATGCCGCAGCGGTTGCATCGATTCCAAAGACTTCATCATGCTCGGATCGTACCTTCTCAAGGATAGCAGGATACTTGGTCATGAGATACCAAGCGAAACACAGGGCGCTAGCCGTGGTATCATGGCCTGCAAGCAGAAAGATCTTGAGCTGAGAAACGGCGATGTCGATGAACTGTGAGTCGAGCTTCGCTTCAGCTTTAGAGCCAGACGCGGAGATCTCTTTGATGTACGAAGTTATTGCCAGACTGTTGACGGTTTTGGGGCCGTTACTATTACTTTTTTCAAAGATGTTTTCATTGAGCTGTCGCTCGATGTGCGGCACAATCTCGCGCTTCATGACGTAGTTGTAGTAAAGCATCTGAAACGGCCTCAAGGGATTGATAGACTTGAGAAAATTGGGGGGCGAATTGTCAGGTATCAGCAGGCCGATCTGCTTCTGCAGAGCCGTGAATACAGGTGAGTCTGTTGTTTGTGCATTTAGTCGCGTACCCCTTAGTTATTTCGGTCAGCTGAGGTCCATCTCAATCATTCAAGCTTGCAATACTAGCGAATTTCCTGTATCGAGCCTCGAAAAAGGTATTGAAAGCGAAAGGGGCGACTCACAGAACCGCCCTGCCGATGACGTCCACCGTAGCCTTCATCACATCATCTTCCAGAGCAACAGTGGCTCCGGAGTCAGCTAAAGTCTCGAAAGACTTCTTAAGGACTAGCGCTTCCTCGACCATCGCAGGCACCAGGGAGAGAATATTCCGAGCTGAGAATCCAGGGTTAAACACAGCTCGCCATGTCTTCCACGTCTGGCCTTCCATATTGACAAGATCATTGCATCCGGTTAGGGGGTGAAACTCCTCCTTCATCATTGAATGTTTCGGCAGCGAACGTTCCTGGGTGAATTGATCTGCTATCTTCGGGTGGAAGACGGCGATCATGGGCGGGCCTATTGGCCATGTGTCTACGTAGACTAAACCTTTCGTGCAGAGTTCCGGGTACTTCCTCAATAGCAGCAGAGGGAGAACTTGGCCATTCAGTCCCGGAGGCTGCGTTGCCATCAATTTGCCCACCAGCAAAAGATGGCCAAAGATGAACGAGTGCGGAAGAATGTCCTGTGGCGTATCATCAGTTACTGGGTTCATCAATGCAAATCCTCGAAGCGCATGAGTCTCGGGGTGGGCTCTCTAGCATGATTACCTACCACTCCATGGTCTTTCGAGACGGCTCGCACTCTCGATCTTACGTGAACCAGTCGCAAGACAAATTTTGCAACGTAGAACGCTGCAAGAGCGCCTAGTGCTTGAAAAAGCAACCCCACATTCAGACCCATCCTGAATGCTTTGGGCTGCGGATGCCAGCTACCGATGAGGCGATCGTGAAGGAAGATTGTACCCGGGGCTCGAGGTTGATATATGGGCGGTTTACGCACGAGAAACGAAGTCGATTGCTAATGACAAGGTTTCTAGTCGTTGACGCGGTGTTATTTGTTAGACAGGTTGGATGGATGACATAATGATTAAGGGGTCACAAAGAACGAGGAGGGACGGTGTTCACGGTCCAACCCATTTTGAGGTTAACTCGAATTTGTGGAGATTAGTTGCTACAGCGCCGGCAGAGAGGGACTCTAGCCGGAGTCAAGTATCAGACCAACTCAATGTTACTTGGTGAAGGCAGGCCGGATAACAACGGGCAATATATGCATCCCTTGTCGGGTCTTGGGCATCTCGCGAGACGCGGATCCTCTCCCTTTCTCCGCGATACTTATAAGAACTTCGGGTCCGGGATGGGGAAAGTCTGTTGGATTGACATTGAGATGGGTCAAGCCTCAATGAGTGAAGAAAAAGTCCATCCGAATGTGTTTCGTGTGTCGAAGTGAATAAGTCGATGTGACGGGTGTGAGATGGCTATCAAATGGGTGTAAGAAGTTTGGTAGTGGTTCGGATGAATGATTTAGACCGTCACGAATAAGCCTGGAATGTGCAATTGGAGGGGCAGAATGAGACTCCTTACTCATTGTCAGATTACCATTAAAAAGGGCTTTTCATTCACTTGAATAAGCGCTGGCGATGAATGCCTCTCAAGACAAGATCCATGCAGTCACACTCCCAGCAACAGCCAACAGGCACGGAACGATACTGGGGCTCATACGCAGCACACCCAGCGACTCTTGACTTTGCACTTCCTCTGTAAACTGGCCCACGACGTTGCCCCTCGGCCAGTACTCGCAGACGAGGTACCACTGCCCGTCACCGCACAGCTTGCGACCGCACCCGACATCCGTCGTGTCTTTCCACACCAGTTGCGTGAAGTGTCCAGTGTCCTCGTCGAATTCGCCCTTTTTGAAGTTGTAGTCATCGCGCTCCTCGCCCCACGCTTCGACGCTCGCGGTCGTGTTGGGGTATCCCTTGGCCAGGTTCTCGCCATATGGACCGCCCGAGTGCTCAAAGTCGCAGCTGTCGCCCGACATGTCGTCGAGGTAGTCTGTCGCGAAGTCGGCAAGCGTTTCGTTCCAAGTCACGGATGATGCATTGTGCTCGCCGCGATAGAAGTTTGTGTTATTGAGGACGGCCGAAGTGAAGGTGTTGTCTGATGTCCACTGTGGCTCTGCCGTTGGACCCGGGGGCGCTTCAGTGATTGTTATTACTGTCTGAGCGGAGACTAGGGTGTTGAGGAGGGCGAGGGTGAGTGCTTTTGTGAGATACATCGCTTCGAATGAGTGAGACTCGGTGTGATGTTTTGAGTGCTGGTGGTTTCACTTGAGTGTGCACAACGGCCATGTAAGATGCGATGAAGCTTGAGCTATATTAAATGTTATTCGTTTCCACGAACATTCCCAAAGGGACATCTGCTGATAATTATAAGTGCCCATCATGATGTCTACTCTTGAGGAGAGCATCATGCCACGGCCGGCTAATTGGACGCGGAAGCTGCAAAACCAGGTTTGCGCCCATGGCCCTGGGTTCCCAGCCAGTCATCAGGGCAATCGGCGCGTGAGATGACGCAGTCTGGCCAACTTTGGGGGCATACCAAGGCCACCCTGGACTGCAGGGTGCTGACAGCCACCTCCGGGCAAGCCAATGTTGGAAGGCCTTGAGGGCCCTTGGCAGCTTTAGAGCTCTCGAGCACATGTTCATCCGTGCTTTGGCGACGCCTGTGGCTGTGGCACAGCTCATCGTGCTGATCTTCAAGACCGAACCAGCCGGCCGGTCCTCACCCCCGGATTCTCAGCTCTCTTCCCCGCGCTTGCACTCCAAATAATAACGTTTAAGGGGAACGTAATGCTCTATACCAAGATTGGTTTGTGGTTTGATTTGGACAATGAAACACACTGTCTTTCGCAAGGTTTTTGAAGCGATGGGACAAGAAGCTTCGAATAAAATAGTTACGGTCACATACGATCTTACGCGATGCCAGTGTGAGGGGCTTGCGATTAACTTATGTAGGTGGTAACTACGAGCGATGTTCACCTGGGAATACGCCCGACACAGTGATGGCGCTGCTGATTGCATCGCAAGCCTCAAGGTGCATGATTCGAGAATTGCTGTACCGCGCTTCAAACCCATCCGGTCAGCGCTCGTGAGGTTCAAGGTACGATCTGACGAAAATCATAGATGATCTAGGCTGAAGCAATTGTTGACTCTACGATGAAATGACTCCATATTCGGGGCTTAGGTACATGTACTGTAGGTGGCCATGATTACATCAACAAGAAGTCTGTTCAAAATACCCCGCCCACATCGAGTAGTTTGAGTTGACAGCAAAAACTTTGGTACACGCCCCAGAAACAGGTATTAGAACGCCTGGGGGTTCTGAACAGTGCCTAGCTGAGCAAGGTCATGAAGAGGGGAACTGACTGAAATGCTACACGAATCTATAGACCGTCGACCAACACGCTATGCTGAACAAAATAAAGGTAGTGTTGCTTTTCCTACACAGACCCTCCATTCTTGATTCCTTTCAACGGGTGCAGCCATTTGTAGGTGCCCTCGAACGGTTCCGAAGCTGAGATGAAGTCCAAGACTCCCGCCTTCTGCGCGTTCGGCGAGACGATGTAGGCGATGAAGAGATGCTGAACAAAAGCCCACGACAGGACATACCTCTGCATGATCCAGTCCCACGTCGAAGCCCATGCGTGCATCCTCGTCACACGTGCAGACTGTTCAAGATCCTGCTCCACCCGTTCTTGCCTCTCCTGTCTATACGCCTCGAACTGAACCTCCAGCGCGGGGAAGTCGGGAGTCTTGCTGTCGGATTCGTTCGCAGACCCAGAGACGAACTTTTGCAGCCTGTTGCAGAGCGCCACCACATCCTGCACGCCGTTATTGAAGCCTAAGCCGGCATTGGGCGTGAACTTGTGGGCTGCGTCGCCTACAAGCACGAGCCTCCCGTTCCAACTCCAGTGTTTACATAGGCCCTCCTCCAGGCCTGCGCCGCCAGCATTGAAGCGCTCCTCGTAAACATCTTTCACCTTGAGAGTGTCGGTTATAGGCCATTCTGCGAATCTTCCAGCAAACGCATCCAATTCCTCGTCGGTAAAAGAGATGCGCTCCGTCGTCGTCTCGGGAAGCTTCTCGTACAAGAAAATCCAGCCTCTGTCCTTGCCGGTGATGTACATAACGGAGCTGTCGGTTCCTGACGTCTCATAGCTTTGGCCGGTCTCTGTCGGGCGCGGGAACGAGGCCCACATGCATTGGTAGAGCGTCTTGAAGGGCTTCACGGCGTCCCAGGTCTCTTCGCGCGAGGGGTCCTCAGCAACGGCGAGTTTGCGCATCTGTCGGCGCGTCGCTGAGTGTACGCCATCGGCGCCAATGACAACTGAGCCATTGTAGGATGAGCCATCTTCGCAAGTGACGGTCACTCCCGCGTCTGTGGAGACGATACCGGCAAGCTTCTTGCCGGTCAAATATTTCGCCTTGGCAGCTTCTGGCAGACCTTCGTAGAGGGCCTCGATGAGGTGAGCTCTGTGAAATGCAACGGGTTCTGCGCCGTGGCTGGAGGATGAGGAAGAGTTTGTTAGCGGGCACGCGATTTGGCTTACATGGGAAGTGGGGAGGAATAGGGGTTCGCGAAAACGGGACGAAAGAACAAACGGGAGAAACCTACTGCGCTTTCAATATGGCTAGTGTCTCTGCATGTTTGAAGTTATATCCATCGACAGTGAAGCCCTTGTTTTCGTGCAGCTTGCCGCCAATTTCCAGAAGGTTTTCGAGGATGCCAAACTGGTGGAAAACGCGCAGGCTCTGTGCGCCCAGGACGAGACTTGCGCCGAGATCCTCGACGATGTTTGTCCTGCGTTCGAGGACGACGAAGTCGATTCCGGCGTGGTGTAGCGCGTGTGCGGCGGTGATACCGCTGGGGCCACCGCCAATGATGATGACTTTGAATGGACCGCTTGACATTATGAATGAAGTGTTCTTGGATGTTGCGAAATTGACTAAGGAAACGGCCTTGGGATCGTGGTGGCCGGTGATATATACCGCAAGAGGCCGTCTCCACCGAGACGGTGCCTGGTCTCCGCCCTCTAGAATTGTCCGCCTTGGTCCCCGGGTGCTGGTGCGTCCATCGGGTGGTTGTTCATCGTAAGGGACCTTGTATTGACGTAGGATTGAGTACTAGGTCTCTTGGGGCCAAACTCTGATCCTGTTCCCGTCCCATGTCAACAAGGACTGAACTGGTTCGCAGCGTGGAACAAGTGAAGGAACGAACTGGCATTTCCATCCCCGTTCCATCCCGGGCATCGAAATAACGCGGAGTGAATCCAGCTGCCGGACTACTCCGTCAACAAGTCGACCACTTGCGGTCGTATTGAGTCCGCCGATGCGTCAGCTGTAGAGGCGGACTCGGCGAATACCTCGGAGACTTCAGTGCAGTTGCACGGAAAACGTGTCTTGCAGAGCAAACCCGAGGGACAGTGGTGGGCTACCATGCATGATGATCAAAGCCAGGGCCCTTCGATGCGCCGGGCAAAACCCATTTGACCCCCCGGAGATCCCACCTAGAGACCCGTTCAAGTTCCGAAACACAGCAAATGCTGCGTCACGATAAAAGGTTATCAAAGACAGCAGTGGTCAAAATCCGATTTGCAATCTCAGTTTGAGCACCCCCAAATCATCCATGAATCGTGGGTCTCGTAACGTTGGACGTGGCGGAGTTCGCAGCAACACCGGCAACTTTTTGCGAAAGTTGCGGAGAGGGCACCCGCAGATTTCGGGCCCTATGATCCCCGACGGTCCGGTAGTAAGCGTATTCTACGGAGGAGCTAAGCACCATGCTGCCGTATCATCCCGCTGATGTCGGGGTCCTTAGCTCCAACCTACCGGGTGCAAGAGCAAACATTGAAGGGTCTGATAGGCTGGGTGAAGTAGATTGAGTTGATGATATCTGTCATGGTACGGATACGAAGCTGACTTTTGCTTGAAGGCACGTGAACCAAGCTTGACCTCTTTCCGGCGCGTGCAATAGGGGCCTCTCGTGGGGACGACTTGAAAATGATTCAAGAGTCGGCGGCATCAACCACATCAACTAACTAGGTACGTCATGTCAGTAGTAAAGGCGGTTCCACGCCGGTCAAAATCGCATTTCGCTCCGGAATTCCTTTCACTTACATACTGATACCCAGTGATGTAGCTATTGTCTTCTACGTCCTGAAATTAGCTTACCGGAGGCAACATGAAGTCTCGTGGGTATATGTAGGTATTAATAGGTACTCACATGCATGCCTAGTAAACATGTCATTGAGCTCAAAAGAATCGTAAGTATGTATTCGATCCGACGATCTCTTCTGTTCAATGCTCTCTCTCTTTATTGCCCTGGAATTGAGGAAAGCTTTGCATTTCTTCCTGCCGGCGATGTGCCACGCACTCTCGCCTTTGGAGTGTAATTTACCTTACTCGCCTAATCGCCCAAACATGGCAAGTAGGGTATGGCCGCGCTTAAAGCAAGCAACTGAGAAAATAATGGGAATTTTTCAATGGAAGCGCGACTCGAGATCTCAGAAATACCATCTACGAGTACCTAGTACCATACGCAAGAATATGGTGTACAGAATCTCTACGGAAAGGCGGCAAGCAAAATCACGCCTCGTCAGCCGATATGTCAGACTGAAGTGGATGGCACAACTCAGACAAGTTAGCGCTGTAAGTATTGATCCTAGGCTGGCGGGACCTGCCGAATCAGGGTGCACATCCTGCTATACCGAGCCATATTCTTCAAACGACTTTTGTCAGCCTGCTGCCTAGAGTCCGAGATCACAGAACTGGGGGCCTTCCGAGTTTGGATCGTCATCATGTCAAGATCCCACCCGTTTCTTTGCACTTTTATGTTGTACAATGACATTGAGGAATTGAAAACGGAGACATTTTGACCCCTGTTTCTCATCCAGACCGGTCTGGTATTCTTGTGACATGTTCACCATCGCGTATGCCAAGTCGAAAGTCTTAGACAACTAGGCGAGGGATGGAGAGACTGGGGCAGCTCACCGGTGCACCAGTCTGGTTCGCCTTGTCCCTTGCCGACTTGGCAGGACCGACCTTGCGTATAAGAAGGGTCGACTAAAATTCGTCGTTAACCAGAACTAGTTGACTTTGACTATCAACTCCAACCGTTACATCTTAAACAATAATCAACATGATGAAGCTTCTTCCATCAATCGCAAGCCTTTTGGGTACAGCAGCGGCCGCGGTCGATATACTGCTGCCGCTCTATATCTACCCAATCAACGATTCGCAAAAGCCTTACGATGGCACCGTGGACTGGCAAGCAGCTATTGCGGCCATCGACGCCCATCCGGATCTGACCTTTAACGTCATCATCAACCCCAACAGCGGCCCTCCCTTCGCTTCAGAGGCCGGTATCAAGATTGACTGGGCTCAGTGGATCGGCCAGATCAACAACCGTCCCAACACTGTGACCCTGGGCTACATCTCTACCCTCGGTACAGTGCAAGCCCAGCCCCAGGATATCGCCATCGTCAAGCAGGGGGTCGACACCTACGCCGCCTGGGACATAACCAACAGCTGGGACGGCAACTCTTGGGATATTCACATGGACGGTATCTTTTTTGATGAGGTCAACACGGCTCCTGCCCAACTTCAGTACTACACCGATGTCACCAACTATGCCAAGTCCGCTACGGGCGTGGTGGTTCTGAACCCGGGTGTCGCCGTCAACCCCGCCAGCTCCTCGCTCTACACCGTGGCCGATGCTATCTTGTCGTTGGAAACGTGCTACACGGCTGATCCCAATGCACCGCAGGACCGGTGTCCAAGAAATACGTACACACCGTTCACGACCGCGTCGTTGAGCTCGCTGCCGACGGATGTGGCGCAGAGGGTCAAGTCTGCTGTCCTCGTGCACGACTTTTACGATGACTGGGAGCCTTATCAGCCTGCTTCTGTGGCGACTCTCCAGGCGGATATCAATGCCATTGTCGCGCAGGGTGTGCATAGCTTCTATATCACGCAGTGGGGGTATAACGAGAGCTTTACCCGGGAGCCAGCCAGTGTCGGAACTGTCTCGAATCTGCTGGCGCTGGCTGAGGGGTTGGCATCTGGTGTGCCTCTGTGAACTGGGTCTATTATGGCGTCGAGAACCGGCCGTTGTGTGGTTCTTCTGACATGCTAGCAGACTCGCACAAAGAGGACTTCAATCGAATTAGAAATGATTTCTTAGGAGCTCACTCACGAATTCATCTTGATATGACTCTTTGGTGCTATGAGGGATGATGAATATCAACTTAGTCTGATCTTTTAGAGTGTGCATTCTGAGACTACCTCTCAATATGTCATCTTGTCGTCTACCTTGGCCAGCTGCCAAACGTGCGATGCGTGCGGATATGTCATAGCCCAGACTCATTGAGTTCCTTTGCTCAGCCACGCCGTCATGACGATGCGTTGAACTTCTTCAACACCAACTCATGGTCTTTCGCTGCCTTGACTTTTCGAAGCATGAAGTCTTGTGTCACATCGCCATAGCTAGGTGTCGTAAACTGTAGGCGGCATAATGATTGAAACCCATACTTTTCGTAGATTCCCTTCGCCAGAGGCATAGACTCTAGGAAAGCCAACCTTCCTTGCTCATCGGCCTTCTCGACGCCCCATCTGAGGAGTGGGCTGGCTGCGCCTTTCCCCTGATGCTCTGTCCGACAAATGAGAAGCTCCAGGTACCAGTGTCTGACCTCGCCCATGATCTCGGCGTGTTTCCGACCAATGGAGCCAAAGAAGTGGCTCGCGAACTCTGGATTACCCTCTTTTGGCCAGACATCCACAGGAGGCGGCGGCTCAATGTTTGGCTCGTTGGGTCCTGCCGGGCGAACCCACTTTGCGCAGACGATGGGTAGGTCGGGGTCCTCAAAGTCTGGGTCAGTGATGATGAGCCATTGGAATCGATGATCACTTATCTCTTCCGCAAAAGATTTGGCGAGAAACTCGCGGACTTCAGACGTTGCTGGGAAGCTCGTCAAGGCTACCGGGTTGTCGTGGAAGGCGGAGAGGTAGATGGACGCGAGGGCCGGGCCGTCCGCCGGGGTAGCGGGGCGTAGTTTAACGGGCATTTTGAGGAAGGGGCGAGTGGTAGTTGCTGGTCATAGCCTGAGTCTCTAGTTGGAAAACCTTGCGGACTGCTAGATAGATATTCCTTCTCGCCAACCTCAATGATTGCCAGTTGTAAAAGGAGAATACAGGCTTTATGTCTTCTCCTCTTTGAGTTTGCGCACAGTAATTGTAACTGAAGGGCGCGGCGCAATCAATTGCCTCTTTGAGTATCGCGTTGGCGGCTTGGATAGCCGTTTCGGTGGCTGTTCTTTAGCATGAGGGGAACAAACACTAATGCATAACTTTGTTTATGTCTTTCACAATCGCCCGGCCGATGGATCCACTGCTCAGTGCTCACTAAGAAAAACTGGCAAGTGCGGGGCTGTGTCCTGCCCTCAACTTCGATGCTCAACCACCACAAAAGCAAAAGGAATATCCTCACGACAGAGATGAGATTTGAACTCACGCGGCCGAAGCCATATGATTGCGAGTTTAATTCGAGTCATACCCATTAACCACTCTGGCACTCTGCCCTTGTTGGATGCAAGGATTGTTCAGAGAGCAGACTATGTTGGATCTCGGTAGGTGTGGTGGAGGTTGCGGAGAAGTCGGCAATCCTCGGGGCAGGGTGGCAACTCGCGGGTACCCAGATATGAAACGCCATCAAGAGGAAGGATTCTAGCTAATCATGTGTTTAATCTGACTGAATTTGAAGGTCCTAGGTCTTGGGTTATAACATAGCTTGTGAGGCGGAAATATGGAGTTCAGAGGTGTAAGAAGCTCCCGACGCGGTTGACATAGGGCCATTGTTCTTTCCCCTTTCATCCTTGGGTGACCCCGCTCATGGCTTGTTGTAATATGCTTTGAATAGCGACAACTTCAACATACTCAGGCACAAAAGTGAGTGAGGGGTTATGCTTTGATGGCAGTCCACCCCAACCTCTCGACTTCGGAAGGGACAGTCGGACCCCGATTACGAGCACTCTTGCCCTTGCTACAAAAACATCTCATTGCTCCATAATTGTGGTTTTGGTCACGTTGCTTTGAGCCCCAAAGAATCAAGAAACACCTCTAACATCAACCATCAACAAGTGCATGCACGCTCTCCCAAGCTGGGTAATTCCACGCCTGCCTCAAGGGGTATGGGCTAGTGGATCGCTAGTTGCGGAAAGTTCGGAACACTAAATCCAAGCTTAAAAGCGATGGAATGATCGGCTTGATCGGCCCAAAAGTCCTAGGCACGACATCGGTACGAACCGCACTTCTGATATTAGCATCCCACCGGGATTAGATAACTTAGAGCTGACCCCCTCCACTTGACAGCTGTGTAGTCACTTTGACCTTGACTCGGATTTTCCTCTGCGTTGGCGCATTCAATGCTTGAACGCTCAACTACGATCTCCCGATAGGCGAGTTGTGCTGGAACCGAAGATGGGACAGAAAACACCCTAGCAGACCTAAAGACGGTTACATGGCTCTCTATATGGTGCCAGTGCCACCTGCAGTACTCTGTCTTGGCGAGGCTACCCGGCCTATGGGGTATCGGGCAATGCGGAGTTGCAGAGATGGCTCGTCGGATAGCAGAGGCATAGGCGAAACCGAACGGAAGAACTTCAGCATTGCAGCGATAGGCGACCTTGGTGACGTTGACAAATAGTGCCAAGGATTTGCGACATCTTTCCGACCTGCCTATTCCATACCAAAAGACTAGGCTCATCGATTATCCGTCTGACAACATCCAACGCCGGAGAGGGGTCCACGTCCGGTACCTGAGGCCCGGACTGCTAAGCGATGGCCTTATTCGAACGGCATTTTCGCCATGGCTTGGCTTCTGCAGATCGTGCAGAAAGTTGGCCGCTGAGAAAATGAGCGAAATGCAGGTATCCTGCAACCACGTAGCGGTGAAATTCATTTCCTGGGACATTTATGACATCCGGGTAACATGGCGTTGCTTAGCTTGAAAGACCAGAGGCTGGACCACGTTGTAAGTATTATAAAATGCTGACGACAGTCCTTCCACTTGCGAAGGAAATATTTCGCCCTTGACTACATCTGACACTTACATCTCTGCGGCGGGACTTTTCTCTCCAGTCGTGTTGGCAGTGTATTGTCCCCCAAGATGAAGTCCAACGCGTTACTTCTCGCCATTGGCGCCTTTTCCGGCGTTTCTGTTGCCAGAGAGCTGGAGCCCAGTGCCGAGTTGTCAGCCTGGTATGACACCGGTGCAGCTCATCAAGAGAGCATGGAGCACAAGATCGTAGGTCAGGCCCTTTGACTTCAAGCATGATGAAGTCTGACAAACCCAGGCCCAATGGGAACAAGCCGAGACAGAAGGAAAGTTCGATTCGACTCAATGGACGGGCCGCGTCAAAGACTACCTCGCATGCAAGGATGGCAAGGTAGAGCTCGTCAAGGGCGACCCCCTTCAGACATTCCGATGCAAGGATGTAAGTTAGTTGAGAATGGGATTAATCTACATTTTGCATTCTCTGATTGAGTGGCATTTGGCTTACCAATAACAGCTCGACCTCTATGACTTTCAACCTCATGCAGCGTTTGGCAACTCAACCGGTAGAGGTTCTGGATCGTGGGGATGGACGGCACCCAATGGTCGAGAGTTCTCCGCGATCGGACAGCTCGACGGTACCGCCTTTGCCGAAATCTCGAAGCAGGGCAAGCTCATCTATCTCGGCAAATTGCCCTATTTCTCAGAGCCTAGCAGATGGCGTGAGATCAAAGCTTACAAGAACTACCTTGTGGTCGGTAGCGAGGCACCGGGTCATGGAATCCAGTTCTTTGACTTGCGCAAGGTGTGTGAACCTGCTGGTCATCACGTCCAAAGCAATTGAGTGAGTCACAGATTAACACCACTTCAGCTCTTCGACATCGACCCCAAGAATCCCGTCGTCTTCTCCAACGAAAAGGATCTGACAGCGCACTGGACCGAAGCTCTGCCCCTCGGGCGCAGCCACAACGTCGTCGTCAACGAAGAGAAGGGATATGCTGTTGCTGTCGGTGCCCAGCCGCGTCGCAACCTGCCCTGTGACTCTGGGCTGCAGTTCCTTGATCTCTCCGACATCAACAACCCCCTCTACCTGGGATGCGCGGCTGGCGACGGTTATGTCCATGACGCGCAGTGCATCGTGTATCGCGGACCTGATGCCAAGTACTGGGGTCGCGACATCTGCTACGGCTACAACGAAGATACCTTGACTATGTGAGTGCTCGAGTGTTGACTTTGATCTATCCTGTTTTCTGACCAGCCTTCAAGCTACGATGTGACCCAGAAGAACAGCACCAACATTATCTCTCGCACCACATACGAAGGCGCCACCTACACTCACCAGGGCTGGGTCATTGATCCCAACTGGCAAGACTTTCTGGTGCTGGACGACGAGATTGACGAGCGAAACAAGACTGGCCCGGCGGCTGACGGTTTCCCCGTGACTTACTTTTGGGATATCAGATCCCTCGAGAGGCCCAAAAACTCTGGCATCTTCAAGGGCACCGTCCGCAGTGTCGATCACAACCAATTCATCCACCGTGGTCTGGCGTATCAGAGCAATTACGGTGCTGGCCTTCGAATCCTGGACATCTCCTCCATTCGATGGGATCCCACAGCCAAGAACGTCAAGGAGATTGCCTACTTTGACATCTTCCCGGAGGATGACAATGAGCCTGGTGGAGGAGCTAACAACTACACCGGTACTTGGAGCCATTACCCCTACTTCAAGAGTGGCTACATCGTCATCAACACTATTGAGCGTGGTGTTTGGGTTGTGAAGCGGTCTAACCCTTGGTGGTGGCCGTGGTAAGAGGCAAACTACACCTCTTTCGAGACAGGGCTTATTCCGATGCCACGAGTATCTCGCCGAAGCAGCACATAATCTTCCTGTAGATAGTACACTTCATAGTTTTGAGTTTGAGAAAAGCTTTACCAAGAGCCAATATCGCGTCAATTGTGATATTTCCAGGTGTACGAGCAGTTCGGTTAGCTCATGAGCGTACGGGAACACTACATTTGCATTCCTGTATCTGCAGTCATGTGTAGCACTATTAGTTAGTGAAAAGTTGACATTCCCTGGAATATGTGATTCTTCTTCATCGGGACAACTCACTTGGTACTGAGGTAGTGATTTAGGAAGCTTTCACGCAGAATGTCTCTCAGCTGTGATAAACTCACAACTCGGTCTCATCGATTGGGTGATAGGATTCGGAGGAGCGCCGCTCAGGGATCAAATGGCTGACGCTCAATTAGGCCAAAAACTCCACTGGGCATTACGTCGCTTCACAGAGGCCAATGCCATCCATGCAGGCCAAGACTGCTGAGGCAGAATATCCGGTAACGACGTGCCGTTTACTTGGCGAGACATGGCACTGCCTTGACTCCCGACATCATCGCTCCGAGTCTTTTGAAGGGGCAAATGGTACTACCAAGAGCAAACGCCAAGGACGCGTGGACATCGATTTGAATTGAGTTGATACCTGCATTGCCGAATCCCGGATTAAGCTTCTTTCATCTTACATTCATCCACTTTCTCTTTTTGCATTTCATCTCTAGCTCTGCTTCTAGCGTTCAAACGTCGGGCACGAATGCCTCATTCCCAGCCTCCAAGAGACGACGGCGCCCAGCAAATCAAAGGCCATGACAATCTCAGCAGGCACGAAGAGGGCGAGCTTATCCAAAAGGATGACTGGCATCACGGCTTGTGTGGATGCTGTGCGTACTGCGAGCTTTGCATTCTGAGTACTTTCGTGCCATGTCTTTGTATGCCAACCTTCCACCGTGACGGGTAGTCTCATGCTGACAGATTTCGGAAGTACTCGGCCAGACTTCCCATCGTATGAAAGAGCCTTCGATGGAAAGCTACAGGCATAACAATCGCGATTGCATAGTGATGATGGGAGTGACCTATGGAACTGGGTTTGGTTGGATGTACGTCGCTTGAAACAAGCGTAATGACTCTCCATCTTCAAGCAACTGACAATGCCTTGCAGGTATGTCATGAAGAAGCGATTCGAGATCCGAAAACGCTACGGTATCAAAGGCACAGACGCGAGAGACTGCTGCGCATCTTACTGGTGTCTCTCGTCTGCTTGGGTTCAGCATGAAAGGGAAGTACTTGCCCGGCAGGCTGCGAGGAGTGATCCCATCACTGAGGGTTATCAATCTCCACCTGCTATGGAATTGCCCTCTAGAAAAACTCAGCCCACGACATAGAGTTTGAAGGGAATTGCGTTTTTCCGGGGCTAATATGATGGTTGCGATCCCGAGGTTCTCACAGCCTTGGCCTCAACTGACAGTCTGACATCGGGACGTACTCCGTACATGGGGACATCGAGGGCTGAAGGCAGTTCCGACAGGAAGAATTGACAAGCTGGCCAAGCTAGTTCCATGTAAATTCTATCACAATTCAACTGACAAGTAAATTGTCTCGTGTTCTTCCTCGTATGCTGTCTTTGATCCGCCGGGATCAGCTGATAACGACATATCTGCTGAGCCGACCCCTAGCGCCACATAAAATATCCAAGCTTGATTTGTCTTTCAGCCTTTCAGGTCAGGTGTTTCACCGGCATATAGCTTACCGTATCGATATGAATTCCTCGATTCTGTGTGACAAACTTTGAATGGAAGCCAGTAAATAACACGTAGCGAGAATAAACAATTTCTTCTAGACCATATGCCGAAAACTCATGTCGAACGATAGCATTGAATCACATTATAGAATTCACTTACCTTCCTCAAAGACGACAACAGCCGATCGGGCATTTTACCCAGAACATAAACCAGTTGATGTCGTTCTCGGTGGTGCCGGAATGATGGCGGTGATGCTTTGAGTCAATGACCTAGTTCAGCCCCATACTTGTATCGGGGTGTGGGTGGTCAAGGCACTCTAAACAAAGTTAATTCTGCTCCTTCATATAAAAAACGCGCTGAAAGTGCCGATCGGTCTTCGACTACACGCTGAGTAAGGAGATCTACCGCATTTTTGATGATGGTCCTGAGTCAACATCAGCAAAGTCCGATCTCTCTGTAGATACGGTAATAGCTGGACTCACCTAATGCGATTTAGTCTCTCGATTGCACAATGCGATTGAGTACATAGTTTAGGGAGTTCCCGGCTGTGTTCCAGAAACTTTTGGTGATTCAAGACATCAAGCTCGACTCAGCTACACACTCTTTTGTCCTTTTCCAACTTCAAGTAGTTGCTATCAACAATGGCGACTCGGCTGATCCTCTCCATCGGGCTTTTGAGAACCGCTGTGCTTGCCTCATCTCCGGAAACCGCCATCGCCATCCGCGCCATTGACTGCTCTCCCGGGTCAGAGACAGGTCTCAAGCCCGAGTGCTGGGCTCAGTTAAACGTGTCGGACTATATCACAAAATGGCTGGCTGAGAACGGCACCAAGGCTGACTGCGACAACCTCGGATTTGCCCAGTGTTTCCTGGCTTTCAATGGCTACGGTGGCCGAACTTGCAACGCGCTCACTCGTGATACGTGTGCAGCTTTTGAGACTGCTGGTGTCGATGCCGCTTACTCTTCGCCGCAACAATTCTACACTCTTTGGAATATCTACGCCATCTCCCAGTTCTTCAACCAGTTCTCAGAGGCTCTTTGGAATGGCCACACCCTCGCTGCTGATACGATCGGGGACATCGTTGCTACCGTCTCCCCGTCTACCGATCCTCAAGTTCCGAGCAACTTGTTGTGGACTTCAATCTCTGGTGGCTTTTGGATGGCCGCCGTTGGCGCTTTCGCCAATCCTCTCCTGGCAGGAGTCGCCACGGGCATGGCAGTTGTCACAGGAATGAGCTCCTTCTTCATGTCCTCAGTAGCAGGCTCTTCCAACTCACGCTTCATCACGCTGGGCGAAATCGGCAGCAGCCTCGCTCAGCTTATCATCGACTACCAGGGCAGCCTCGAAGACGCCTTGAAGGAGCTTCAGGGCAACAGTACCCTGTTCTTGGCCGCGACTGAGCCCGGTGGCTTCAGCCAGCGTGCCGTGACCAGCTTGAACCTCCAGTCCACCGAGCTCTACCACGATCTGCAACTCTACATCCTCTCTCTGTCTCTCAAGGCCAACGGCATCGTGTCCACTCGCTCGACTGGCGTCAATGCCCTCGACTACGCACCCGACACTAACGGTGCCGTCTCATGCCCAGGCCTTGGACCCGCGGGCAACTGCTACCAATTCTGGATCGATCCGGATACGGGTGACTCGTACGCGCTGCACAACCCGAAGGACTGGAAGAACGACTATGTCGATGTCCTCAACAAGATTCACGACAAGAGTTGGGCCAACCTGAGCGAAATCTTCAAAGTCGAGGATTGCCAGGGTAAGGACCCGAGCTTCGATGGAAAGACCAAGGTGACTTGCCTGGCATCGCACGGCTTTTGCGAGTGGGACTACGTTGATCAAGACACCGTCACTAAGTCTAGGACGGCTAACAAGCAGTTCACTAACTGTGACAACGATAAGTCATGGGGCACTCTTTGTGACTGGATGAACGGTGGTCTCGTGATGCCCGAGGCTTATCTTGGGCCTCTCTTCAAGTTCCAGGAGCCCGCGTGGTGTAGAGAGCACTAGATCCAAGATCGACTTCATATAATTCGCACAATACCTATTACACTCTAGGTACTGGCCGTTGAATGCAACGGCGTCCGATCGCTACGAAGGCAAGTTGCGTATATATATCTAAGTCTACTCTCAAATACCATCATTATCTGTAATCATCTCGAGTGCCGTACACCTCGATCACTACAATAAGAGTGTAATCTGTAGTATTACTATCTCGGGACTTCGACGCTTGCTGGTTTATCAAAGTAACGAGCCTCAAGTCGGATGAAGCACGTGCTGAACGGACGGAATGATCGCCACGAGCCGGTGGGGAATCGTGGGGGAACCGTACATGGACAGGGCCAGCGGAATTGCCGAAATCCAGATTAGAATTCGCTTTCGGGTTGGAGGTTCTCGCACTTTGGCATTGGCCCAAGTGTCAGCATAGCGCGGATATAATATCAGACGGATGCGATTTCTACCGCTATTGATGAATCCCAGTTGTAAGCACTAGGAAGTCCTAAATCCCACAGGTTGACTTGCGACGGAGAAGATAGGCTGGAACGGGATACAGCCTATCCATACTACTTGGTTGATTGAAGTAGCTGATGAACCCGAATCTTTCTTCTTTGGGCAGGATCAACTGATATCAATGAATGGATAAAATTAGAATTCAAAACCTGGCAAGTCAGGACATTTAAAGGGTTCTCACTAACATGTCAAGCCATTGGGACACAGTGAGACGTATGCGGCAAGATATATCGAAAACCACATGCTACTTGGGCGTGACGTGGCGGAAACAGTGATGTATCCAGTCTCGGCTGACAGAGAGGACCCAAGACTTAAGCAATTGGTTTACTGTGGTAAATAAGGCGTAATTGCTGGCCGGCAATTACGGATTCGTTTTTGTACGACATTTACCAAAATAGGGTTTTCTAGGATTCTAGAAATTACTTTACTTCTGAATCTATTTCAGCTTTTGGTTGGGTTTCCATGGTAGCAGTTCTCGCCAGACGATGTGTAGACTTTGACTAAGCGCTGTGCTCCGAATCATTCTGTAAGGTGAGCTGTGTTGATATGGAATGGCATTTTTGTTCCTTGATCAGTATTCCAGGCATCGATGGGTATACCAGAATCAATGCCAGTAGCGATCTTTCTTGGTTTATCATTTTCAAACTAGCGCCAGAGTTGATCAGACACAAATATTCGCAACGATAGATGATCGCCCACAAGGAACTCAATTTCTATTCACAACGTTAGGACAGATGATGATGACATTATCGAGTATTTATCCTTGAACAAGGCGACCGGCCGGTTAATGACTTCGTTCCTCTGCAGTTCATGTTTGCTATCGAGGTGTGGACTCGGCTCAGACATTTTCGGCGGTCTCGATTCCTAGTAAAACAAGACCACCTACTCGACTTCCTCAAAGCACTTCCAGCCACGATCCGATCTGTTGAACTTGGCTTCTGAGGTTCATGCGGAACATCGGCTCTTACAGGACCTTGCTATTCGGCATCCATGACGAGCTGAGATGGGCCAAGTGGCTTGTACGCGTCTCGTCATCAGGAACTTTGAGATACTTGCGCTTCCTGGTCGCGCAATCAGTATCGATCAAGAGGTGCAAGAGCTTTTGTACGGAAGTGGTGATAACCCATGTTCTGTGGATTCGGGAGCACAAGCAAAGTCTCCGGCTTCTGGAAGAGTCGAAGACGTCTTTGAGTCTCGGTTCAAGCGGCCCTATGTTCTTGAGGAATCTGAGATGGAGGAATGGTTGATCATGTTGGGAATTCAATAGCGATGGGACGCAATACGACAGCACGCTGGGTCTAGGAAGTCACACGATTCTGGACCAGATACATGTTCTTTGCTATCAAATATTGTTGCAGGCAAGGCAGTAATATGACTCTATCAGATTTGTGATTATGATGCTTGAAAGTTGGTTTCATGCATCCGAAAATACTTTGTAGACGCCCAGGTAATCTAGGACAATCTCAAGAAAACGAAGGGTTGTTGGATCTGTTTCTTATCGACCATAGCCGTGCGTGTCGAAAGCCACTATCTTTCCGGGCTCTGTGATCGTTCCATTGACCGGCCTCGCAAGAGATCCTCCAGTACCAACATACAAGATCCCCTTGTCCTTGATGTTCCGACCAAAGGCAGCTGCAGTATCTCCAGCAACAGTCAGTTCCGTCTCTGAGCCAGCCGCGACGGTGCTCTTCCCCTCCGGAGTGACGTAGAGAAGCTTGCCGTCAATGTTGGTCACGGCCCAGATACCGCCCTTCTTGTCAAAAGTGAAGTCGTCGAGGAAAATAGCCGTAGTGTTGACGTTGGTAATCTGGTCGATGGTGGTCTTTGCCGCAACTCTACCCGCGCGATCGAGTTTGACCCGGAAGACCTTTCTCAGGGAGCTATGGCTCCAGTACAAGAAATCTCCGCGAATTTGCACACCGTTGACTCCAATTGGCGGCACTGCTTCGGCTGTAGGCTCGAGATATTGACCGCCTAAGACGACATCGTATTTCTTGGCTTTGACATCGAGTCTGTACACTTTGCCAAGCGCTGATTCGGCAATGAGGACGATGTTACGGTCCCAAGGTAGGGCGACTACACCATTCAAGAACGCCGCCTCTGGGACGTTGACAATCTTGTTTACCGTGGTCTTCTTATCGGCGACATTGACCTCCCACGCCGAGAAGCTACCGGGAACGCTCACACCGATGCCAGAAAAGTTGCCGCCCACCACCACGAAGGTATCGGGGCAGGTCTCAGTGATGCCGAGAAGGCCATCAAAGCCCGAGAACCGATGGACGAGGTCTGTTGATGGCGACTTTTCCCACGGCTTGGCGACTTGAAAGATTTCGGGAGAAGTGAGCATAGTCAGGACGAGGTTGCCATTTTTGCGGACGGCGATGTTTTCGATCCAGTTGGGCTGTTGAGGAAATTGGTACACGATGCGAGAGGGTAGACTCTGGCCTATAGCGAGAGCAATATAGAGAATTGATGTTGCAATAAAAGCCCGCATATTTGCTTCAATAGTTTGTCTCTTCGGGCGAAATATAGCGAAGTCTGAGTGTGATGAAGGGAACGGTATCATGGTGTCGTGAATGGTACGGGATTTATTGCAGTTAAATACCAAACCTCTTCTGGCTGTAGCTTGGCTGCCGGATCCGGTCTCTCGTCTACGCCAAAGTTGTGCAACATTCTTTTCTGAATCAGTGGCTGAGACAGGCCGGAGATGGTATGATTGATGCCAGCAGGGCTGATTGCATGCTCAGAACTGATGTTTGGATTGATGAGCTGGCTTACAAACTTCCTTCCTCTTGCATGGGATTTCCGTTAGCTCCGGAGTTGTCGCCTTACTGAGACCGTGCATGAAGACGCGGAACACCGCTTTGCATGGTGGTTAGGTCCACTGTGGCTGATCAAAATGATCTGCCAATGGCTGAATCAATACGTGCAGTAGTATGCGCAAGCGATTAGTGATGGTCCATATCCAGCGCGCAAAGTTGGAGACCAGCAGAGTAGCGCAGATATTTAAGAAGCTGACGTTAGAGTAAGGATTCAGCTGAGATCTTAGGTTCAAGTTCGAACCAGCACCAATGCGTAAGCACAGCACTAGGGTCAGGCTTAGATAAATCCGCGGATATATTACCAATCGGTTACATTAATGATAAGGTCTGATTATATTGAAGTCTGGGAGTTGAAATCCTAGATCAAACTTATATGTTCCTTAGTTTTATAGCTTGGACAGTGCCACGGATACGCCGTGTATTTCTCCTCGACGATCTCTAACCCATGTTTCCTCCAAGTGCCCGCAAAAGAGCATTGTCCTGCAGGATGGTCCACCCCAAAACTCCAGGTGTCCTGCGGTAATACCTAGGTCTGCTAACTCAGTCCTTTGCAATTGGCCAATCACGCTCTCTCAAGTTCGCACATACGTTGAAGTAAACAGATGAAATCACACGGAGATTGATATTGATTCTGGATAAAGGTTTGATCGAAGAAACTGCATAGCGTTCGGGCTACCAACTGGAGTTGGTGCTAAATCGACAACGTGGGCTTGCTTGCCAACCCATTAACCCTTAGTCCCAGTGCTCCTACCCCCACCGAATTTCGTAGCGAGGAATTGCTCCCACGGAGAAGATGGCGAGGGCGTTAAGTATACAGAAGAATCGGCAATGTCAAAGCCATTGTGATTTCCCAAGCAAGACCTAGCTGCGACATCGGATCCAGGCGCGGCTTGCATCGGGAGAGGGTCGATGTAAGTCGGCACGACGCCCTTCGTTTGTCACTAGCGCGTTGGGGCCATCTGAATGAACCCCTCTAGGAGTCATCCTTAAGTTCAGAATGAACGTCACATCAAAACTTTACATTTACTAAGTACTACTCCCATTATCCATACGTAAACGCGATCACCGACCAAGACATCAAACGCCCAACATGAGCAACGAACTCGCCCAAGAGCTGAAGCAGCTGCACGTCCCCGCATCGCCCGTCATCTTCACCAATGTTTGGGACGTTGCCTCCCTCAACGCGATCATCTCCTTAAACACCGCCGATTCTAAGCCTGTAAAAGCCATCGCAACCGCGTCATGGGCGATCGCAGCAACAGTGGGCGTCAAAGATGAGGACCTCGAGCTGGAGCAGAACATGGCCGCAATTGGCCAACTCGCGCCCGCCGCCAAAGCCGCCGGCCTCCCCCTCTCCGTCGACCTCCAAGACGGCTACGGAGACCTGGTCGACGAGGTCGTGACGGAGGTGGTGACGCTCGGCGCCAGCGGGGCCAATATTGAAGACAGCATCCCGTCAGCCGGGTTCGAGAAGGGCATCGACGGGTCCCTTTACAGCATAGAAACGCAAGTCGCTCGCCTCAAAAGCGCCTTGGAGGCAGCTCGCGAGGCGGGATGTTCCGACTTTGTTCTCAATGCCCGGTGCGATGTGTTCCGCCTCGAGCCGTACTATGCGGACGATGACGAGGGTGCGCTGGCGGAGGCCGTGAAGCGGGGCCGGGCGTACCTGGATGCTGGTGCGACGACTGTGTTCTTCTGGGGCGGTTCGGGACGGGGGCTTCGGGCTTCGTAGGTCAGAGTGCTTGTGAAGGAACTCGGTAGACGGGTAGCTGTTAAGCTTGGAGAGCGCCCGGACTCGTTGTCGACGAAGGAGCTACGCGAGATTGGTGTCGCTAGGATCAGTGTTGGACCGAGTTTGTATCTTGTGGCGATGGACGCGGTGAAGGCGTCGGCGAGAAGGATCTTGGACGGAGGTAAACTGGCTGCTTGAGATCTCGTGCTATCTAGGAAAACTTGAAGCATATCACAGGATACGAACAGCGCGGACAAGTCTGAACGACTTCAAACTGGATGTTTCATTGAATCAAGTCTGCTATTACATGGCGCACCGTTTTTTAGGAATCAATAGTTGTGTAACCCGCTCAAAGTATGTTATCGGGCAGGACTCGAAACAGTCCCACTCCAGTCAAAATGTACAAATCTTTCATTGGCCTCCAGAGGCCTCTTTCACATCGTCCATGCGATCCCATCTAGTTGATGGCGGCAGGGGGCTGCTGACCAGGCAGAGGGATACTCTGCGGGTGAGCAGTGAACATGCCCTCGGGGTCGTACACGGCCTTGATCTCCTGCAACTTGGCGTAGTTCTTGCCGTACAGGCGCTCGCTCCACTGATCAACGGTGAGAGCCGTGTCGCGGTAGTTCACGAAACCACGCAGGGGCACGCCCTCGGCGGCGAGCTGGTCCTTGAAGGGCTGGAACCCGTTCTGCATGTAGCTCAAGCCGTCGGCAGGGAATTGAGTCAGGCCGGTGGCGAGACGGCCCTCCCAGCGGATGAGCCACAAGCTGTTGGCATGGGCGAAGGAGGTGTCGTCGTCCTTGAACGCCTTCGTAGGCTTGCCGCCCCAGAGGTCGATGAAGCCGAACTTTGTGAGGTCGGTGCGGTTGAAAGCTACGGTGGTGAAGTTGTAGAGAGCAGTGGCGGAGGCCTTTGTGAAGGGCTGGTCCTCGCGCAGGACGAGGGCCTGGAGGTAGAAGTTGCGAGGGGGGAATGTGTCGACGGGGATGTCGATGGAGGGGGTTGCGACGTTCTCGACGGCCCAGAAGTCCTGGACGGTGCGGGTGAGCTGGGTGCCGTTGGGGAGCTTGGCCATGAGGGGTTCGAGGAGCTTGTCAAAGTCCTCGGGGTTTCCCCAGTAGAAGCCGGAGCCGGTGTAGGAAGGGGCGGTCAGGGACCAGCGCATGGTGAGCTCGTCGGGCCACTGGCCGGAGAGGTAGTGCTCCTGGATGGCGAGAAGGGAGTCGACGCCGGCGGAGAGGGAGCTGTCGGTGAGGGTGATGGTGTAGTTGATGGCCTGCTGGTACGTGGGCTTCCAGGTCTTGGTGGTGAGGCTCAAGATGATACCATAAGAGCTTCCAGCACCTTACAGGGCCCAGAATAGCTCGGGGTTCTTGGTGCTGGAGGTCTCGACGATGGTGCCGTTGTAGAGCATGTAGGTGGCGCCTTCGAGGAAGTCCATGGGGGTTCCGAGCATGCGGGACAGGGAGCCAAAGCCGCCTCCGATGGAAGAGCCGATGAGGCCGACCATGTTGGCACGGACGTGAGGGAAGCGGGCGCCGTGCTCTTTCCAGAGCTGGCTGACGACGGGACTCACGAGGGAGCCGCCGCCGTAGGTGAGCAGACCGGTAGCTTCATCGTACTTGGTCTCATGGAAGTGAGTCATGTTGATGGTGAGCCCGGCATTGGGCAGACTGTAGGAGCCGTAGCAGTGGCCGCCGTCACGGGCCGCAACGAGTACCTTTGCCTCCCGGGCGCAGGCTAGAGCGGCGGCGACCTCATCGGTAGTGCGCGGCCAGGCGACGCCGGCCGGGGTGGGGGCGACGCGGCGCTGCCACGGGAGGATGTCGGTCGGGAACGAGGCGTTGGTTTCGGGGAACGAAGTGAGGAGACCGGCCGTTTCGAGGCAGGTCTCTAGGCCTTGGGCCTGTGTGCACGAAGCGAGGGTTGCCGTTGCAAAAGCGGCGAGACTGAAAACACGAACCATGGTGAATGAGTGCAGTAGAAAAGGAGAGACTGAAGTTGGACTGGCAGAGCTTGGAAGCTTCAAGAGAGCATCATATTTCGAGAACCACGCACCCGGGGCTTTGCTTTATAACTCATCTTTCGTCCCGTTTCCCCTAATTCCCAACGTTCTACCATGATTTCTTGGCATCGTCTAGTTGCACCACGCCGCCGGGCAGTTCTACCGCAAGTTGTAACGGAGGCATCCGCACGCGTAGAGCTCGGCAGTACCGGACACCGGATGAACTGCTGTGGTGGTATTGGTAAAGGGATTGAGTAGCGACAAGCTCGCCCGCAGAGTGGCCCATCTTGCCAACTGCAATAAAGTTGCAGACACCTTTTTAGATTGTTTCCCAGCTTTTCTGCAGATAGAGTTCGGCTTGGAATTAGGGATGATCCGCGTCGCTGGGCTTGCGGAGAAGACGCTGTTAGGCGCTCGAGTCATTGACTTTCGACAGGAACTGGGCAGCATTGAGAATTTCTGCTCGCTATGGGGGGCTCACAGCCAGCATAGGGCCTAAGACATAGAGAGAGGTTGCCGCCAACTTATTACCTTATTAGCGCACGCAGAACTGCAGCGAACACGTTCTCTGCTGTGTGCCACTCTTCAGTGTATCCGTAGACCAAGCAAGTTGTGCCGTACTCTGAACTGGGGGCCAGGGTGGTTCCCAGGCGGCTCAAACATCGGCGCACTGCCACGGAGCATTGCGACACCAAGACAGACTATCCCCTGGGACATATTGCAGGATGGAATTGTTAAGTTTCTGGGGACGAAGGAAATGATTTCGCACCATACACAATACCGCGATTCGCCGAATTCTCTCCCTAAGCGTGTTCCACCGGTCTAGTCTGATGGCGGAGCACGTCTTGGAAATTCGACCGTTTGGATGAAGGTGAGTGCCAAGGCAACTCAATGAGATGAAGTTGGACAACTCAATACACGTACCAAACACAACGAGACGAGATTCATTTATGGACCTGAGTCCTGGTAAACGAGGGTTACTTGCAACTGTATTCCAATGCGTCATTGACTTCCTCGTCATGAGGTACGTGCGAGATCACAACCCCACTCCCTATGACATAGCCTATATATCATGCAAAAATGGCGTAGCCAATTACAGAACGAAACCTCCGAGTAAGGTTGTATAGTGTAGCGGTTATCACTCCAGATTTTGATTATATCAAAACTTCTGGTAACCCCGGTTCGAACCCGGGTACGACCTGATACTTTTGCCATTTTTCACTCGTTCTTTTGATGTCCTTGCTAGCGAACTGTGATGCTCATCTCGGGATTCCAAGTACTCAAAGAGTAGATATTCGCAGCACCTGAGGTTATTATCTTTGTGGTTGGTTGTCACCGAGCTCATCCGTTCTTTTGTCATACTTTTACTTTCGTACGCAAAGCTTGACGACGTCATCAGATAACTTTATTGAATATTTTACTGAGGTACTCGCGCTTTTCGTGCCCACACGTAACTCTAATCATTCGAGATAGCTACTTAAGCACCTGATAGGTTGCATTCACTCATGCTAATTGCCTCGTTCGTGTTCCCGCCAACTGCCAACCGTCACCTTCTCGTGCGTAAGACAACTCGAGACCTAGCGTGTGCGATCGGAGCAGGCATGTCGAGCTTCTTTCGGTCTTTGCGACACTACTTGCCAGAGCATCCCTGCATTCACCTCGCGTGCAAGTCATCCAACAACCAACATTCCCGCGGGATGGCACATCGTCCCCATCTGATATTCATGCATCACAATCTTGACTCGGGAGAGTGATAGAGTTTGGGGTGATGTGCGGGCGTTCAACCTCAATGCACTGACGTCGATACCGACAGCTCGGAGCCGATGTGTGACAGCTATGTTGTCAAGACCAGCAAGGCAGATTTGTCAATGGCCCGTATAGTTGCAACGTTGGACGCGGGGAATGGTGTTTGGAAATATGCATGTTTCCCACTACCCCTGGGATCATCGAGCGGAATGACCAAGTGTTCTGGAGATCAAGTTTGTGACTGACGATAAGCTTAAAGGCAACCTTATGCGCATCATAGTCTGGTCTCCGAGCATCTTTGAGCTGTTTTAGCAGGCTCAAGCTCTTCCACCCACTACTTGTGTCGGGAGCACCTTTATTTCAGTTGTAGCAAGCCCTGGCAGTTGCTTCACATCCGCGGAGTATGACGCGCTTCAAGTCCTCAAAGCCCAAGTTTAAGCCAGAGTACGACAGATCAGAAAGCAAGCATCCGCCAACTTACTCTCATCGTCTTCAACAAGGCCTGGGCTCTCTCGGTCTCGCAACCGTAGGCGGCGGGACTGCTTTGGTCCTCGCAATCCTCGGCTTCCTCCTCTTCCTATGGACCGGCGAAGGCTCGCAAGACGGCAGGAAAGCCGCGGCGCTTTGGCGATGGATCATGCTCAATCAACACATCACGCAGGCCATCACCCTATCAACAGTCTTACTACGTATAGCAGTCACAGCACAGGCGTCCATCTACACAAGTCTCCTCGCTGGCGTTGTTCTAGAGAAGCATGGCGTACCTCTGTTTCGAGTCGCTGAGATGTCTATCATCCGGTGTACCAACGACGGACCGTTCCAACTGACTTGGGTACTGCTGACTTCGTCACGGAAGGCATACATGCAGACCGGGCTGGCCATCTTGCTATTGCTTACAACGTTCGTTGTTCAATTCTCGTCGACTCTGTTGGTGTCTGACTTGGGTACCGATGACCTCGTCGGTGATGCTAAGGCGAGAAAGCTCAACGTGCACATGAGCGACGAGGTCATCTCGCTGAACAGGCAGATGAATAACTGGATCGGTCGCCCGACAGCATATGTGCCATTTGGCGAGTTGCCCTCAGAGGCAAATACGATGACAGACAATCAGTTCAACTACAGCGATACGGGCATCGTAAGAAGAACGTTCCTCCCCCTCTCAACATCACAAATGTCTACACTACGCCAGTACAACGGCGGTGCCTACGGTTTCGAATCACGCTTTGTCTGTCTCCGTCCCTCGGTGTCTGCCTTCCTCTCGGTGACGACTCCTGCACCGGGCACAGATACTGTCCCTTTCTACCTGAAAGTGGCGGGCAGTTTATCATATGAGTCCATGTTCCGCGAAGCAGGTCTCTCGCCACCGGAAAATTGCGAAAATGGAAATTGTTTCCCGTCAAGCTTCAACTGTTCACTCCCTCAGTTTCAGTACACCGAAACGCAAGCACGGCAGGGCTTTACGAACAGCTTGTGTATTCCCAATGGCACAGCCGCCCGCCCGAGTGCTCAAAATCACACCATCTCAGAGAAACTGATCACGCCGTACTCCCAGGTCTTCCTTTTCTTCAGGAACAACGGTACCCATGATCTTTGGAAAGGACCAGGCAATCGTGTCCTGGCGGGGACATTCGGGCTGGATAATGTTACTTCTACTGATGGTGACTGGCTTACGTATAATCGTCCCATCGGAGGAAGATTTCCCACAGGGGAAAGGATCGAGACGGGCGTATTGAGGCTAGACATGTCGCTCTGCTTCCAACAATTGGTCTTTAACTTTGCGGAAGTCAAGCTTTCCAGCAAGAAAGACTTGAAAGAGTCGCAGGTAACCTGGACTTCGGAGACCAAGGCCTGGAATACGAAGAATGTTCAAAAACTCATGGGTATCGGAGCCCACGGGAAGAGCAGCCGCGAAATCTTCTCGGTGGACTCGGTGCAGAACCCACGCCACCTGAACGCTACGCAATTCCTGACAAACAAGCTCATAAACGACTTATACAACTCGCCCCGAACTTTCAACTTTTCCCTCTTCATGGACCCTCAAGGCAGCGGGAATTCTCCCATTAAGCCGCACGTCGAGTACCAGGCCATCTTTGCAGATATTCTCAACGTCACCAACCGTCCTGGCGTAGCGATGCAGTCCACCTTGACAGCCCTCTCGGGCTCTATCATCAATGAGGCACTTCCGCAATTTGACGTCCAGTCCAACGCCATCCTGACCTCGTCAGTCCGCGTACTGACGCCCAAGAGCCTTCGGGGATTGCTCATCATCTTTGGCGTCATGGCATTGAACATGGCTTGCGGCCTAGCCGTGGTGCTTGTTTTCATGATACAGAGTCGGTATTCTAGCCAGGGAAATTATTGGCAGGGCGTGTCGCAGATTGTGTCTGACGAGACGGCGTGGATTCTGGAAGGGGCTACGGACGCGAGTGATGGTCATGTTGAGGATGAGGTAAGAGGTTCAAATCATCTCGTCTGTATCTCTCGTTCGGATAGGAGTGGACGGGTGCGTGTGGCCCCTGTTATATCTGTGTAGGTAATCTCAGAGTCAACGTGAACATCGCTTTTTCTTTTGATTCCGTCACCTACATTGAATCCCCTGGTAACACCATCTTGTTATGAAACTATTTACTTATTAGTTTGAAGGCGATAGAGGGTTGAGAAACATCGATGGACGTGCTGCATTGAATCTTGTGATAATGAAAGCATTGCGCATTTGAGCTCACAGGAAGCCTTTTTCGTCCTGTACATGTATGCGTGGATAGTTCAATAACACATACATGTATGTCGCATAGACTAAGTTGGCCAGTTGTTCAAACAGGCACTAAGCAGTGTGAAATATCAAGAAGGTAGTTGAATAGACGGGTTAGCCAGCACAATTGTTTGGGGAAGCTGAACGATCAGTCGTCTTCCCGGCTCATCATACGTCGAATTGTGACCCGATCTCCGGTCATGTCTGTAGCGTACTTAGTGACCTAAAACATATTACCCTAGCTGTCTTGGTCTTGACCACATACTACTACTTTAGTAGACAATGATAGTTTCACTCTGTTCGCAAGAAACGACGTTTCGGGAAGCAGGTCACAGAGAAACGAAGTAGGTAGCTCATACATATTAGGCACAGTTGAAAATAGGGCCACGTTACTGATATTAACCAGATATCTGCCCGTATTCTCATATACTCTTCAAATCATTTCCCGTTCACCTCTCCCCCTTTTTGTACCCTCCTTGCCGTGGCACATCCTTATTAGAGCCATCTCGCATTGACTACATTACTTCTCAATAAGCAAAAGGACTTCAGGCCGAGAACCTGGTCCCAGTATTAAAGCTGTAATGAGTTTGCATCTACTCGTCATCGTTGATGTCGATGACGGTCTTCTTCCACTGGCGGGCGGGGATCTTGCGCTTGAACATAATGTCGATCTCGCGGAAGGAACGGCCCTTCATCTCAGGCAGGTAGAAGAAAGCGACGACGAAGCAGACGAGACCAGTGGCACCCCAGACGTAACCACACTTGCCGCCCAAGTTGACACCCTATTGCGTGTGTTAGTAAATGTGGTTCTCGGTGCAGGATGAGAGAAGAAGCTTACAGTAGAGTTAAGCATGTAGGTGGCGAGGAAAATGCAGGGAATGTTGACAACGTAGTAGGCGGCACGGCCGATACCAGTGGTCAAGGGACGGAGACGAATGGACGATGTCTCGGCAATGACGACCCACGAGGCGGGGGCGGGTCCAAGGGTGAAACCGACAGAGACGATGAGTCCCAAAGAGGCCATCGCCAGGGAGGCGGCGGTGGACTTGCCGACGGAGCCGGCGATACCGAGAGCGATGAGGAAGGCGACGTTGATGAGCGAACCCCAGACGTAGATGGTGCGGCGGCCGAGATAGGTCGTGAGAATCCAGGAAAGCATGACGAAGACGGTCTGGAGAGCGGAGGTGATGAGACCAAGAGCGAAGGCAAGCTGGGAGCCAATGCCGGCCTCTGTTTATGTGTTAGCCACCACATAACTTTAGAGAGGAGAAGAGATGAAAACTTACGTCTGAAGAAGTAAACGGCCTGGTTGGCGATGAGGTTACCAGTAAGGTTCTGGGCGGCGTAGACACCACAGACAATGAGGGTGCGGTATCTGTCGGTGCCCTTGAAAAGCTCAGCGTAGCTGGGGTCCTTGACGTCCTTCTCAAGCTCAATGGTACGACGCATCATAGCAACAGACTCCTCGACGTTGACGTTGGCCGACGAACGTCCAAGACGACGAACCGAAACTGCGGCCTCTTCGAGACGTCCCTTGCGAACCAACCACCAAGGAGACTCGGGAGCGAGGAAGAGAAGAATGGCGAGAGGAGTGGGGAACATCCACTGAAGGGCGATAGGGACCCTGTACGCGCTGGGTTCTCTCTTGCTCTCGTAGACGTAGCAGACACCACCGACGATAATGGCACCGATGGCCCAGAACATCTGAAGCATCTGGGTGGCCGGGGCTCTCAGGCGCATGGGCACGATCTCAGAGCAGTAGGCGGGCGCGTTGGCAATGAAGATACCCCAGGGAATGCCCTCGAGAAGCTGGCTGACGAACATGACGGCGAGCGAGTTGGCAAAAAAGAAGACGAAGATGAAGGCGTTGAGGAACATGAGGCCGGAGATGGTCGCCCAGCGGTATCCGATGCGACTGGTGATGGGACCGGCGATACAGACACCGATGATGGCGCCGAGAGGACCACCCATCTGAAGAGCGGACTGCCACGATGCCTCAATCTGCTTGCCGTCCTCCGCTTCGACACCGAATTTGTCCTTGAACTCGTCCATGGCGACGAAAGCACCCATGAGGAAGACGCAGTAAGATTCCATGATCTGGAAAACCATTCTTGTTAGCTACTAGTGTTCTAATTTGTGGGACAGGCCACCTAGAGTTACTTACAATCGTGGTAGACATGATGAAAGCCCAGAGTGAGGCCATGGGGTAGGCCTTGACGGCCTCAATGACTCCCATGTTGTGCTCAGCCTGCTCAGCCTCGATGGCATCGGCCTTGTAGGAGGCGGGCGATGCCTTCTCGTCGAGGTCGGCGACATGGTCAATGTCGCCATAGGCCTCGACCTTTGCTGGGTCGCTGTGCGACTTGGAGTCGATGGTGGTGCTCATGTTTGTTGACTCTTTTTGGAACCTCGCCGAGAAATTGGAGTTCGAGGTTGTTTGTGGCCGGGTCTTGTTTATGAGGAGGAGGAGGGGACGAGGGAACGCGAGCAAGCAAGAACAGAGAAGAGACGAAAGCCAAGAGAGAGAGGGTGGTAATGGGCAAGCTGTTTAATAAAGGTCTTGTCTTACTCCCCAGTTCCCGTTTTCCTACATGCCCAATGGAACATTATCTTAAGACTTAACCCCAGTCGGGTGTCATTACGCTAGTGCAACTTGAACCAACGCGAACGTATGAAAAAAGGTGGACGGGGATCTGAATCCCACAAGGAATCCTCACAAGCGCAATCTGGGCACTTTGGGGTTCCCCAAACGTCCTCAACCCCGCCCCCCGCATTGATCCATAGACCCGTTCCCACATGAGCCTGGGGAATGGGGAAGAAGGGCGGGTGACACTCTGGGGGGATCGAATATCGGCTCATGATGAACCGAGCCCGGCCAGATATTCCCCTATGCGCCGACGCGCTCCAATGGGGGTGGGAGGTTGCTCAAGGTTTTTGGAGAAACGGCGCAGTTGGACCAGTTAGGACCACTAGTCAGGGTCCGGCAAACTTATCCCATCGGCCCTTTCACCAACGGGGGCCTTGTCACAAACTCGGGGCTCTTTTCGCTCTTGGGGTTAGTTTCCCAACTTCCCCAGTACGCCGCGTTGCTTAACTTGCTTGGCTACTTGGATGGACGCGGCTCCTTAGCTTCCCATGTGACCGCAGCGGCCACTTACTGAAACGGCGAGTTGCGAAACTAAGTACTTTCTCGACGTCTTCCACCCTCCATCGTCGGCTCTCATTAGGGCGCGTCGTAGCACAGCCGTTGGGCCGTCGAGATGGGAAAGGCGCAGAGGCGTAGCCGCACCGCGTCGCGAAATACGGGTTCAGCCGCCCCCCTCTTCGGCATCTCGGTGAACACTGGACCGTGTCCCACCGAGTGTTCATGTTGTTTTGCAGCCGCTGCAGTTGTAAAGGACAACGAACCCCAGCTACAGTCCCTCTCTTCAACGTTCTCCAGTGATGACCGTGCCAACGTGGTCTCAGACCATAGTCCATGTCAGCAACCAAGCGCTAGTTCTCCGCGAAATTAGCGTCCAATGCAGTCAAAATGCACACCCGTTCCACCCAGCTGCGAGATCCGTCTCCACGGGTCCGGGGCGAAGACAAAGACCCACAGCTTAATCAGGTCTCCTCAAAAGACACGAGGCGGACGAACCAGTCTGATATTTGGAAGCCGCCAGGCTTTCGAGCTGAAGCGCCTTGCGCGCTCGAGGTTCCCGGGAAACCGGCAAGGGTTTCTTCACGTTGGTGCCAACCGAGCCAATGATGGCCAAGGTGTCACCCAACTTGGCGATATTACCAATTTTGCGAAGACCAAGGGGCCAATGAACTCCAGGAAGAGAGGCTGGAACGCGTTTGCGGACATCGCCTTGCGGACAATCGTGCCCTTTTGGGCGATACCAGCAACGTGGCACCGGGGATGATCACGACGTCGACGAAAGTCGTGCCATAGTCGCGCTAAACCACGGTGATTTCAGCTTCATGTTGATGAAATTCTTGTTGGGAACTCCACAAAGGTCTGGAATTGGCTCGGTTGCAGGGCGCGCCCGTTCACAGACAGCCGGAGCGATTTGGATGGATGGCTTCTAGGAAATGGGCCAAGTATGGCTTGAACCAAGACTTCAGTTCGCGCTGGTCATCAAATTCATTCATGTTAGAGTTTCTTCCATTTGTATCGACTTAGCTGCTACTAATGGATCTACCTATGTTAGGAAAGATGTTCTGTGTATCCTTACCTTATGGGCTGGAGAACAAGCAGCATCATGTCTGGACAGTTTGATCCTGAGAAGAGTATCTGGGCAAGTACCAAATGAAACCGCCTACTATCCGCTATGCGAGGAGAAATCATCGTTAATTTGATGCGCAATGTCAGCCGATCATGATGGAGCTGAAGGATTTGGAGCACGGCGAAATCACACGCAGTTGTTACGCATATGTTTGATGTTGCATTTGGCAGAAAAGACCTTGATTATTCACCTGAACCTGAATGGTCCCGTGACGAGGTTTATCCTGCAATCTGTGTAACAGCGTTCTACCCCTCATTCAGTCCACAACATCATATGTAAGATAGATATAACATCCCGCTTGATTGGCATGTTTCTCTCCGTGAGGTGTCATGTGAGATGCCGAGATCCGCATCGTTGGTCACGGTGCACCGATTGTCCTGCAGGACGGTCACTTTGGTGCAAAGACCACGTTGTCAGTCTCCCACCGGGGTATTCCACAGAGTCAATGTATCTGTACTCCGTGCCTTAGCTCACATCAACTTTAGTTTTGAACATCGCGTAAACTAAACGATGCTGTGACTGGTGGGGTTGGGTCGTGGGGATACACGCTAGGTTAGACATATTCCAGATACGGGGTTGACCCGATGAAATAGAATTGTTGACATCTCGGTTGCCTCCACGATACCAAAAAGACATCGGTGCCCCGGGTCTGGGACCGTCTGGCCAACTTGGTTTTCCCCAGTCTTCACGCTAACGTAATTATCTTTGAGTGCTTGGGCCCGCAAGAAAATTATCGCTGCCAGGGTTCTTAGCGTCGAATCTCGATATATCCACAACCCACAACCCGCAACTCAAAACATCGTGAAGTTGTGAAGCGAGTTCGGCTCGTGATCATGTCCACACTAGCCCACGCACTCTTTCCACCTGCAATGTTAGGAATAGCGGCGTCGGAATTCGTGCATCCACTTCCAGCTCCTCGGGCCTCTGAGGATCTACATCACGGAAGGGTGGCCGAGTTGGTTATGGCGCCAGGTTAAGGTCAGCTTAACATCTGTTTCCTGGTGGGGCAACCCGCGCGAGTTCGAGTCTCGTCCCTTTCATTTTGCTGTCTATGTATATGTGCAATCTTTTTTGGTCGTGTGATGCCTGTTAATAACCTACTGACTGGTAAGTAAGATTCCTCTAAGGAGGTCTAGAACTTTTCCTGGTGGCTGCAGGTACATGTATATGAACCGATCAGGATATCGAGGGTCTTGAAGGTGTCGGCATATGAAATTCTTTTCTAACGCTAGGGAATCAGTGTTGCTTCATTCTCCAATCTCCATACACGGCTGGATAAAGGACCACGGGTAGCTAAAAGGCGAGGTTTCTAGATCAAGTATCCCCATCACTCACGACCTGAATCTATTGGCTTCTGTCCCACCCAGGAATAATACGTGCCATACGCATGCACGTCCGGATCTTTGATTGCGTTCCGAACGGATGCGAGAAACACCTCGATCTCAGTCCGATCCATCCCCAGAGCTGCCAACGGCTTACTTGCAGCCGCACCCAAGAAGTCTTCTGTCACTGAGCGCATGTAATGCCCAACCAGGCGCTTCGTCTTGTCGAGAGGCCATCGTCCGACCGGCACTTTGTATGATATCGCCTTAACGTTGACAAAGCCGGCGTTACTCATGAGGGCGCCGATGCGCGGGGCGACTTGGATGTCAATCTTCATCTTGTGCATGGCGTTGCGAATCTTGGACCAGAATTCGAGTAGGGGCCAGTCTTCGGGCATAGTCCCATCATCGCAGTGCACGTTGGCACTGAAGTCCTGAGTTTCGATAAAGGCTCCAGGTTTGAGGTTGCTGCAAGGTGCGATCAGTGAGTACGAGGTTGCAAACAAGTGGAGCTACCAGCAAGGAGGGTTGCAGAGTTTAAACTCACTCCAAGACTCCCTCTAGAAGCTTTGGGAGGTCGTGCACAAGAGATGCCAAGTTCCGCATGTGTATGAGATCGAAATTGTCCCCTGACTAGGATTGCTTTTTCTCGGCAAGAGTTTTTCTCAATTGAAAGCTTTTCCCGCCATAAAGCACTTACTACTAACCAGTCATCTTCAACATCATCGACGAAAAACCCGACGTTAGAAGGCACCCTGAGCGTCAAGTCAGGACATCATGGCAACAAGACAACTGAGTGAACGTATCAGCTGGGCTGGATTGGAGACAAGTCCACGCCGGTGACCTCGGCGGAAGGGTACCGGTCTCCAACTGCGGAATTTTAATCATCATGTTCCACTCTCAATCGCGGCCACTCAGAACGAGTGTCACACACCTTCCATTGCCCGTATGCCTGCAAAGATACTCAGCATTCCAGTCCAGCGTTGACAAATGACACACTTTGGCACAGAGTCTGGAAAGCAACTTACCAGTGCCCGTCCCAAGATCAATAATCTTGCTGGGCGAGTCGCCGATCGGGGCATGGAACAGCTTGCCATCAGTGAGTTCCATGACCATCGCATGCTTCATGTCTTCACGATTCTGTTCGATGTCATCGTTGGGGATGGGATATCTTCCATCCCGAAATGAGTGGTAGATTTGTTGTGTAACTTGATAAGCCTCTGAACAAAAGTCTGCGTGTGTCTATACATCCACTGCTTTGCTCGCGCAACCTACCGTCTGCCGTTCTCATAGGAATGCTTCAAGACTGATGAGGTGATCGAGGTCGAGCCCGATTGAAGCATCCCACTCGCTGGGCTGAAAGGCATCATCGCTCAAGGCATCGCCGCCAGCTTCAATAATGTCCTGCGCTTGCTCCGGAGACTGCGCTGGACGTCCGTCATGCGGCACTCGTTCAGGACTTGCACTTATCGGATATGTTTGACGGGTCCTGTTGACTCAAGTGACTATGTTGTGTAACTCGTGTTCGCATGTAGTTGTCGTCGGCTGAGCCTAACCCATGCGATCGTTGCAGTTAACGTACGGCTACTGACAGCCAAGCGGGGAAAGCGTGAGATCTCGGTCCTCCGGCAAGAAGTGGCGCAACTAGAGCCGAATCATGGCTTGCGGAGCGGGCGTTGCGATAGCTCCTTACTTGGCAACATACCGTTCTATGATTGGTACGCCTGTCTCTTAGTTGAGGGGCGTATGTCTCACCGCTGGAATGGTCCTCATTGGTCCAGTCTGCCGTCTTTTCAGTTGGATGGTTCCATGAGGCTCGCCCCAAAAGCATCATTGTCTGCGATGCTCTGACATTCGCCATCCTCGAGCAACCGATGCTTCAGTAGGTAGAAAGAGGGAGGTTTGTGCTGTCTCTCATTTCAAAGATTCACATGAGTATTGCTATCCCCTCCTTCTGGTAATCCGTGCCCGGCTCGCTTCGTTAGGTGTTTAACCTCTTCTAAGATTTTTATTTCACTCGCGCTGTCTTATTCCACGTCCGCCTCTAAATTTGATCTCCCAATTCTCTCCGTGCCACCGTAATGAACTCCACCCCGGCGCCGGTCCGGTAGTCGCTGCGCCCGGCTTATCAGGAAAGTCCGCGTATTCATCATCGCCGTCACGCCCTCTTCAAAAAAAAAGGCCTCACTGTATTTCATGCTACATTATGCCGTACACTCATGTTCTTGAGCTTATATATGACTGGTCACCTTGACGGAGGGCAGCAATAACGGGCATCTTGCTTTTCAACTCGATCTGCCGCGGCTTGGCTGCATTAGTAAGGACGATTCTGCGCAGAATCGCATGCTGGACGGGTGCTCCCGATATGCCCTTGTGTCGGAACTTGGCGAAGATGATCCGAGTCATTCAACACAAATGAGGCAGCTAGAAAGAAGGCGAATAATACTGCCAAGACAGAGTCAGTACTGGCGGGCTATGTATCAGTCTCATGGTTTGTAACACGATCCCCATTACCATTAGTGGTTACGACTCACGATGGGATCAAGAAGATCAAAGTTAAATTGTGGGATCGATTTCAGCCGGAACGACGTCCGTGGGAAGGAGGATTCGGTGTAGTTCAACTCTCTAAATGGGACTAAGGTACACCTCATTTCACATGCACATATCGCGATTTAACGAGGCTTCGCTGATGTGTGCACACGATTACTATGAAATAAATTCACGGTCAACACATACTTGCGATTTTCATACTCCGTATGACTGAATGATATTCTGAGAATGGGCACTCGGCCGAAGGTCGGATACCGCGAAAATAGCAACAGGTAGTGTTATTGATGGATTAATTATCGTGATCACTTTCCATCCACATGCGGCCTGTCACCCAGCCACGAAGAACATTTTCCAGGTCACTTGATCTTCATATGTTGCTTCCCATGCCTAAATTATAGCGCACGTCTCCCAGCGACTCAGTGAAGGTAATATTGACATGGTTAACACTGAAGCGAATACGGCCAGCAGATGTTCTCCTCATGTTGACCGCAACATCCAAACACGCCCAGGAAATTTCAAGATTCAAACAATAATGAGACACACATGCCAATCCGGAAATGGGATCCAAAAATACGTCTGTCGCCAGTCCCCGCAGCGCTTAAACTTGAGTGGGTGACATTGGGAGACTGGGGGCGATAAAGCGGTTTCAGGCCCCGGGGACCTAGGAGCGCTGACTGCAGGTCAGTCTCTAGCGTATTTACTTTGTTTTCTTAGCGGGCTGTCTCGTTGGGAGGATCTGTTGTTAAGGTTGGCCTGCAGCGAACCCTCGCAAAGAGACACATGCTATCTCAGCACCCGGCCTTAAGATTCAAGGTGGAAGTAATCAAGCAGACAACTTGTTTTTTGAATTATTAAGTGTGTAAGAAAACCTTCGGTAGAGTTCGCTTCCGTCCAAACAATGGAATGAAGGTTCATGCCATGGCCACATGCCGCTTGACTTGTGAGCTGAGAGTCATGCCAGTGACACTTGTCATACCACGATACCCGATGTCAAAAGAAGTTTTGCGACACGGGCGAAGAGATGGGATGAGTTCGATATCCGATGGGAAGAGCCTCGGAAGAAGACGAGTCACGCAGGGACCAGATCGAACTCCAAGACTTTTTTTATGGTTGTGCTGTTTGGGATCACCAGGGGATCATCCAGCAGAATCTCTGCCTGGTTGACGAGCATCATCAGGATCCATCTTCAGCTTTGCTCAAACCCCATGAATTGCGCCCGTCTTCTAACGATCCTCCTCTCTTGAGAACATGGTGTCAAAGGAGGAGCACGGCAGAAGTGGGCACGGCCAAAGCTGCTGCCGTTCGAAAATTGGCCTCCAACGTCTGAAAAATAAGCTTGGCAGTAAGATACAGGGGGTCGTGAAACTCTCCTTAGGGATGGTGGTGGGGTCAATTTCCTCGGAGCTTTGCCGCCGTCATGGGCACAATCTTTGATTCTCAGTGAGCTACTGCAGAGTCCGACGAAGAGACGACATGGAGAGATCCGAGACCCTGGCTCACACACGCAGATACTTACCATATGCTGTTGAGGTTCGGTAGACAATTCCGGCTTGGTTGGGCTGACGACTAGCTGGATCACTCCGGCCCCATCTTTCAAGCCCCCTGCTCTTGAGTCGATGATACTCCTCCTCGCCTCCTTCACCAGCCCCAACCCGCCCCCCTCCACCGCCAATGTCCATAAAGAGCCTCACGAGGCTCGAAGTTGTAACGACAGGCGCCTAGTCAGGGGCTTCCCTGTCGCTTCTCACCAGATCCGGTCGTAATGTGGCTTCCCGATCAGGCCTAGGAGATGCAGCCGCAACAGCTTGGCAGCTTCATCGCACCCATGCGTCACGAACTTCAGACCTCCTTCGACGCGGAGTCGCCATCGCTTCCAAAACCCATCCATCCTATCTATCGCTGCGGAAAGTCACCAAGAATGTTCGCGACGTTGACGTCTCAACCCGCCCCGTCTCGAACGCCCCATGTCATCCCATGTTGGCCGCCGCATGTAACCTACTTTTGGCCCTGGCCTGAAGTTCTTTGCAACTGCGACAGCTGGGCACTCGGGCCCAGGGGCGATGTTGAGAGCATCATATCACGAGAACGATGACAAGGGGGAATGAGGGATGGCGTAACATGGAGACGCAAACATGCTAATGCATCGATGCAATAGCATCCATCACCTAATGTGAACGGACTGGCAAAACGTCCGAAATATTCTATAAAGATCAGCTCGATCTTCCTCTTAGTACCGCTTCTTCTTTCCTTTCCTCATCACGCTCACAATCATTACAACCTTGTTTGTTCTTTCTTCTCTTCTACAACAGCTGTGCTGTCTTCTATCTCTTCCAACGCATCTTGATCACTCATTCAATTTCATCCGGGTCCGTGTCCCTCTTTTCGTCTGTCACAACATCGACTACTTCTCAAAGAACAATCTTTCGACTTTCAATATGAAGTTTTCTTCCGTCATCACTCTCGGCTTCGCCGCCCTCGCCACCGCCGCTCCTCTCGGCGCTCGCCAGGCCACCGTCTTCTCCACTCAGACCTTCAACGACCTCTCCATCAGCGGTGGTACCGCCGGTACCGCCAAGCAGGAGGCTCTCGACAAGCTCTCCGGTCTCCCCACCGACCTCAGCACCGTCGCCAAGGCCGACCTCGACTTCCTCAACAGCGTCAACTCCATCGCCAACGATGCCGAGAAGGAGGCCTTCAACCCTGCCATTGAGGGTACCACCGGCGAGGAGGCCGACGCCCTCCAGCGCGGCAAGATCAAGAACAAGGTCCTCAAGCTCACCGCCACCATGCTGAAGCTGCAGGCTCAGGCGGCCCAGGGCGAGGATGTCGCCGACAAGATGGCAACCGAGCAGAAGAAGCTCGACAACAACATCTCCCAGGACGAGGCCGAGGCTGGCAATGCCTCCACCGCCCTTGACTTCGATGCCTCCACCGCATAAACGCCTCTAATCAGCGACAGAGGCCGTGGGTGTAATACCCTACGAGACTTTGAGGAGAAGGAAGGGAGAATAGTCGATGATCATGAAAGATTCACGAGGCGAAAAGGCGCTGTGTGCCGGCTCGGATGATCCGATCAAGTGCTGGCCATTTTTAATTATTGGGGATGTATCGGTACAATTTAGTACGCTCTAATAAGTAAAAGAGATTAAAAAACACTTAAAAACATTCCTTTTGCTGTGAAACTCAACTCAACGTTTAACTTCAACAGCTGTTTTGCTACAGACCACAGCCTATAGGCAGTAGCTGCACACTGGATGACAACTGTATGTGATTTCTAAATATTTCTAGAACTGCCAAGCCGTGATCAGCATTCTGTGACGGATGTTGCACGGATGCATGTCCTGCCGATGTACCGCCCCGGTGTGTTGTCGAATCACCATCACGGCCAAAAGGGGAACCCAGAGACATTCCTCAAAGCTTAGATGGCTTGGCGAAGGGCTCCAGTTCTACATTCAAGACAGTCGTCAGGCGTGAAAAAGTGTAGTAGAAACCCTGAATTAGTTAGCATCTGCATTCAGCAACTTTTTCGGAAAACCAACCTGCAGAGTCATCATTTCCACAACCTCCCGATCAGAGAACTCCGTCTTGGCCTTTGCCCACAACTCATCCGCATCCTCAGGTCCGTCGATGACAGCCTCAATGAAGAGCAGAAGGGCTTTCTCTTTCGGGGTGAATAGCTCTGCCAAAGAGTCCAGCTTCCCTTGACCAGAGAAGCATCCCTTCTGCCTCCCAGCTTGGGCA